ACCGAATATATACAGTATGTGAAAATACTGTAATCATACGGTAATAATACTATAAATATACTGTTCGCAAAATACGAAAATACAGTATACTAACCGTATATATATTTTTTATAGGGGAGTTTAGAATGGTTTAAAGACCTAACAACTTAAAACTTATCAAAGCTGCTGGTGAGGTGACTGGTCTTGTTGGTGTGGGTGGGTTGACCATGTATGGTACTGGGTACATGGTCAGAAAAGAGGTTCAAAATGTGAGGATTGCATAGTTATTTAATGATCATTTTCTAATATAAGTACACAATTACTAATTTTAAACATCTCATTCAATCTAGGAATTGAAAGCCCTGGAAGCTAGATTGGAAACTCATTTCACTGGATTGGAAAATTGACTTTTTCAATTTCTGAAGACACAAAAAGCTTAAATAATTAAATTATATTTTACAGAAATATTTTTGAAATGTGGGAATCTAATTATGTTAATGATTATTGCTGAAAATGACATTAAAAAATATATTATTTAAATTGTTACATAATCAATTTACTAATTATACTGTACCTGCAGTTCCAAATTAGTTTTAATAAATTTGGCATGTACTGACTCAGATCTGGACTGAATTAACAAAAACTGATTATAGAGGTTTTTAGAGTCCAAATCAGCTTGACTCAGTTTTTTTAATAGTATTGGTTTAGAACCAAATGAGTCATTTCCATCCTAATATGCAAATGTATTGATCTATAAGACAAAGCAATATAACTTGATAAAATTGTAAAAAATCAAAATTTTCTTCCAAAATTTTTTTTTAAAAAGTGAAATTTATTACAATTGATGATGGTCTGTAATAGAATTTTTTTGGCCTGCATAAAATTTTTTAAGAACTATAAATTTTACATGAATTCCTATACTCAACAAATGATAATCGTAATAATCAATCAGTATATGTAAGTTATCAGACAAATCTCACTTATTTCATTATTAGCTATTTAAATTTCTAGATAGAAGAAATAAAATGTTTCACAATATATCAAGTAAGATTTTTTTTTTAGGTATGATATATTATTCATGTTGATGCAAAAATGATTATTTAATTTAGGAAAAAAAAATTATCTGTGATTTATTAAATTTAAATCATGAATAAATACATAAAAATTAAAATAAAAAGTGATATAAACTTTGCATTTCTATTATTAAGTAATAGATATAAACTAAATTTCTTGAAAAATATTACTAATAAGTTCATCTAGAAATTTATGAATTAAATCTTATAAAATAATTGAACTAGATGATTGAAACTAAATTTAAAATTTTGATTAAACTAATAATAAGAATCTGAATAATTGTTTTGTGTTTCATTCTGAACAATTTATATTTATATTTACAATTTAATTACTAAATATCACAAGACTTTTTATTTTGATTTAATATTTTCCTTATTGTTATTTATTAATACTTGCTACTTAATATTGTGAGTCTTTTTGATTCAGTATTTTTCCTTTTTATTGTTTGTTTGTTAATACTTTGAACAATCCAATTCTTCCTTATTGTTATTATTATCCTTATTTATCATTTATTATTAATTTTCTCCTCCCTCCTTATTATTGTTTTATTAAAATTTTCAATGTTCGGTTATATACACATATGTAAGAATTACTGAGCTAACAAAATACATCGCAAAAGCATGACTAGCTATACTACAAAAATCAATAATTGATGTACATCCCATACAGGACCCAGTGGACCCACCCTTCAGAAGAAAATAGAGACTATCCTATATATCTTAGACGGAAACGCACTGGGAATCTTAAAAAAATAAAATTACAAGAAAAGACTTTTAATCCCCAAAGGGAAAAAGTGAACTAAAAAATAAAAAAAAACTAATATTTTGCTTAAATAATAAGATACAAATTAGAACATATAAATCATTAAACTAATTTTTGTAGTAATGACAAAATCACTGCTTCTCATTTGCATTACCACTTCCCTTACTCTTTGTTTTCTTATTCTGAAATACAGGAACCTTCCAACTTGTCACTTTGTTAGTGGCTGGTTTTGAAATCTTCTTGTCTTCCTTGTCCGAAGTTCTTCAAGAGGATTCATCTTTGATTTTTGAGTGATTTTGTAGAGTAGGTAGTGTGTCAACACCATTGCAACTCTTTCCTTACTGGATGGAAAACTTGTTTTGTTTCTAACGCTATAAAAAGCATTTTCCAGTTCTCAAAATAGCCTACAAGTTTACGCTTCCCTCTTCCTATTTGAATAATTTTAAACAAATTCACCTCACATAATATCTTTGAATAAAATCTACTTTCCTATTTCTTTCCATGATCAATCTACTCACATGATCAACTATGAAAGAAACTAATCAGAATTAATGTTTTTGCTTTAGAAAATAATAATAAAGTTTAAGAATTATTGTCCTTTACTTTACTTGGAACAATATTCTTGCATAATAATTGGATTTAAATTATAGGGAACTATAAATAAGAAACATTGTCCTTTATCTTTGATTCTAGATGATAATTCTTGTAAAAAATTTATCAGTTAAAGGAAATTAATAAATAAATTAATAAGAATTAATTTTGTTTTGCTTCATATTGATTAATAATTCATGTAAAATAAATTGAATTATTGTTTGAAGTGAACTTCAAAAGTATTTACCACTCATCTCAGTATGTAATATAAGTGAATGATGACAACGAAGTTTTTTAAATTATATATAAAACAATCATGGGATGGAGTAATGAGGAATGAATGATGGATAAATAGAATGAATGAGCGAAGAATAAGGATGAAATGCTTAATTATATGCTTTGATAATTTAATAAGCATTTAGAAAAAATTATTATTTTTATTTTAGAATTTGATATTTTGTTTTTTTTTTTAAAAAAAAATAAATAAATAAAATTTTAATAAATTTCGTTAGGAATATTTTTTTAAAAAAATAAAATTTTTTAATAAATTTCATTAAGAATATTTTAAAAAATAAAATTTTTAAATAAATTTCATTAGGAATATTTTAAAAAATAAAATTTTTAAATAAATTTCATTAGGAATATTTAAAAAATATAAATTTCGTTAGGAAGAGTCCAGTCTGGTCTGGTCTGGTCCCAAAAAGACCGGTCTCTTGGCCTGGACAGGGACTACTGAATTGTATTTAGGAATTTGAATTATTAAAAAAAAAAAATGAAACAAAACCTAAAGTAGAAATAGATGAGCACAAAAATTTGTCTCGTTTTTATTGGATACAAAAAATCATATGTATCGGCCCTAGTCCGGACATTTTGGACCAAAGACGGTCCCAAAACCGGATGCAGTTGCTAGGACCGATTCAGTTAGGAACTTTAAATAAGTCTTTTTATAAGAAACTATTTTATAATTCGTCTGGGATACTAAATAATAGAAATGTTTCAAAGTCTTTATTAAAAAATGATCATAATAATAGCAAATTAAAATATTGAAATCATTATTCACTATTAAGAAAAAATGTTGTTTTTGAATGAAAGGAAATTCCTTTATAATATTAAATAAATAAATGTGACATTTTTGCTATGAAATTGTTGTCATTGTAGCTAATTTTAATTTTTTAACGCGCAACATTACAAACTAATGAACAAAAATTCAGATGTAAGTTAGCTATAATTAATTTATGATTTCAAAATATTGGATCTATTACACATTTTCTCTGGATCAATTAAGAAATATCCATTTAGATTTATGCAAAAATTTCAATTTTAATTAATGTTGAGGGCGAAACCTATCATTATTGTCATATCAGGCTATGTCAAACAATTTTTAAATAATGTTGTGATACTTTAAACTAGAAAAAACATGATAATGATGAGTTGAAACTTGTTACACCATGAATATCTACAAACAAGTTAGTAAAGCCACAAACTTTAATTGAAAGAAGTTTCAAACAATATATAATAATTTAATCCAATACTCAAAGAAACAAGAATAAACTTACTTATTGCAAGTGTTAAAGTGTAATTGTTATAGAAAGAACACTTTTTATTTATTGGGTTTAAAATTTTTGGCAAGAAATTTTTTTTTTTATTGTTTTAATATACACTATTATGAAAATAATGGTAATAAAAAAATACTTATTATAAAAAAAGTAATAGTATTTTAAATGATTGCAATCATAGAATTAGTTTGTAAATGGCGAAATAAATAATTTAAACCAAAATTTTGCAAACTGGATAAGTGGAAATAAACTTTTGATTAAAAATCGAAAGATATGATGATATAATTGTTTAATGGATATATTATAACCAGTTTCAACTATCGTAATTTAAGGTGGGGTGCATTAATAAAAATCCATGTTAATTGTGAAATTTTTATAAATAATTATTAATTTAGCAAGTTATCAAAAAGTTCCCGTATCTTCACACGTTGAACTTTTTGTAGACCAATTAAATTCACTTCCTTAGATTGGTCTCGACCAGGTTGCTTGTATTGAGCAGGAGCTATCGATAGAATAACAAAGTTGAACTTGAATTTATAGTGCAGTTTAATATAAAGTATAGTTTATAAAAATTTACCGCCGAGTCTGTAAAATATACTCTGGCTGCTTCTGGGAAACCATAAATAACCTCTAACCACACCAATCATTTATCTTGGTTTACTGACGCTTCTACATCTGCCCTTGTGTAAGCCCAAAGGATGCTTAGAGCATCCCATCAGGACTGGTAAGACTATCTCCTTCCCAGCAGCACCTAAAGAAATTATGTTTCCACGATTCCAATATAAAATATGATTTGTTAGATAGATTCAAGCATTTCTTTTTCTCCAATTCCTTTCTCTTTACCTGAAGGGCGCTATGAAATCCAATATCATTTCTTTCTACCATTCTTCTTTAAAATTATCTAGCCAACTGTATGGACTTTTTTAAAAAATGTGAGCCAGTTAATTTCTAAAATAGTTACATGAATTATTTGTAACCTACTCTGTTGCCATATATACAAGTTGATTAATAATCAGAATCCAAACTTAGTATAGTATGATCATAATCATACCCATACCATTCTTGCGAATAAAAAAAAAAAGTATTAAAGAGAATTAATTTTTTATATAAAAAAATATCATTTAAAGAGAATTATTTTTTTCTAGAAAATTATTTTTAAAGAGAATTATTTTTTTTTTATAAAAAAAATTATTTTTAAAGAGAAATGTTTTTTTATAAAAAAAAAAAAAAAAGATGATTATTTATATTATTTATAAACTTTTGATTTGTGGCCTGTTATGATATAATATACCTTCCTGAATATATTATGACCAATAAAATAGACTCCTGAATCTTGATCAGTAGCTTGTTATGACGATATAGTTAGATTAACAGGTAAGTCTTAATATCATATTATTGCCTTATTGTTTATTAAAATGTATATGATGAAAGAACTTTTATAAAATATACTTATATGTGGCAAAATTTCGGAAAATGCGATCGAATCCGAAATTCAAAACCCAGTTCCGAAACTATTACCGAATCCAAAATTCCTTACCGAAATCCGAAATTAGGGTCGAAATACGAAATTCTGAGCGAAACCTTTTTATATAAAACAGTATTCAGCTGAGAAAGTAATCCAAATAAATGATCATTTATTATTGGATGAGTGATATATTTCGAAGTGACATGTACTGTATATGACATACAATTTAAATTTTTTTTAGTAAACAATTGTAAAATTTCTTTCAGAAAAACGCTTCTATTCATAAATATTTATTTTAGACAAAATTTTACACTTTGTATTCTGCTATTAAATAAATTTTCGTATAGGAGAAATAAAAATACTGATGATGTTAAAATATTGAAAATACAGTATTCCATATACTGTACAGTACACGTTTTAATTTTATTAAAATTCTAAAAGAAATTATTTAGGAACCTAATTTTAGCGATTTAACAGATCATTAATCTGTTGTTCTTAAACTTCTTTGCTAAACGCTAAACGAATTCCGTAATTACGGTGGGTGTACTTGTGCATTTGTGTAGATACGTAATAATACAAATTCCTCTTTTATTAATAATACTTTTATTTACTGTAATATTCCATAAATATAGGAAGTATCAAATCATGCATTATATGGAATATGTATGTATATACGGTATATGCATATATATTTAGTAGACCGTAAAGATATTAACGCAAATATTTGTCTGGCTCAAATTAAAGTGCAACGTTACTATAAAATTTGACGAATAATGATTATTCATAATAAAAGTAATATTTTTATTGAAGAACATTTTTTTTTTAAGTTATATTGAAGAATTTAATAAAGTCACGCGCTATTTTTCAAATTCGAAACGGTATTTCAAACTAAAAAGATATTTTTATAATATTAAACACATAATTTTATAAATACAGTATATAGTAAATAAATCGCGACTACCCTGATAATTATTACATGAAAATATTTGAGTATTGTAACTTTATCTTTACACCGAACCCCTTACAGGATATAAATAATCAACTTCATTAACCCTACAATGTTCTTTAAAAAATTAATATAAAATTAGCAATGACGATAGGAAAAAATATATATAGGAAAAAAATAATAATAAATAAATAAATATACCTAAGCTTTCACTCGACTCACTCGACTTCAAAATCTCGTTTAATTCTGTAGAATAATTAATTTTTCTACTCGTATAACAAGATAATGGATGGTTTTGAATAATGACTTCGTTCTCTAAAAAAATAGTATTTTTTTAATTAAATAAAAAAATCATTAAATATGACGCTTATTAAATTTTTTTTTTATTTACCTGGCACTTGTACTCTATCATAATTAGAATAATATTGTGAACGCATTTTTTTAAAGCATTCAATAAGATCTTCGGCTGATGGTCTTTTGTTAGGTTCAGAATCCCAACATTTTTTCATTAATTCAACATACTCAGGTTCTGTATCATCAATAATCTCTGGTCTATTTCCTTTACATATTCCTATGGAAAGATAAAAATCATGAGGTACATTGTTAAAAGCAGGAATCCCAGATGTCATCTCCCACATTATAATACCAAAAGAATATATGTCAGAAGCTTTGGTATATGGTTTTCCACGTAATACCTCTGGAGCAATATAAGGAAGTACTCCATAAACTTCATTAGAATCAGATTTATGAGCAGATCGACTTAATCCAAAATCACTTATATAAGCATACCTATGAGACTGTAAAAGTATATTACCACTATGAAAATCACCATGTATTAAACCGCACTTATGTAGGGCTGATAGAGATCTTGCAATGAAATACAAGTTGTTAAATTTATCGTACGGATTATATTTTTTTATCATCAAATTAGATCTTAAACTACCATAACTCATATATTCCATGACTATCATATAATCTAATGTCACCGGATCTTGAGTTATTCCGTATAATCGTATTGAATCACAATTATTATTCATGGTTGAATATATAAATTTTAAATAATTTTTCCACTAAAAATAATTAATTACGATTAATATATAAATAATTTTAAAATAACGTAAATAAAAAGAATTAATTATAAATTTTACCTCATTTAAAAATCCTTCAGTATCATTAGAAGAATTATTTAAACATTTCAATACAACATGGAAACCAGTTTTTTCATTTTTTTGTAGAGGAGATCTCGTCTCTTTGTTCCTTGCATTTTTAAAATCTTCTTCATTAAGTTTAAAAACTTTTCTATCCAGTTGATTTGTTTCATTATTCCAATAAGTCCTAATACGTCCATCTAACCAAATAGCAAGATATACAGTACTAAATCCACCTCGAGCATGGAATTGGATATTTTTTAAACGATCATAAGGAATCCATTCTATAACCTCTCTTTTATTTCTTGCAGTTAATTGAGAATCTTTTATAATTTTATCAATAATTCCATTACCACTAGTCCATTGAAAAGCCATTTGAAATCTTTTAGAATTACAACTTTTACACCATCCCCAAAATGTTTTTGGTTCTTTACAATCAGAACATAATCCATATGTCTGATTAATTATATTTTTTTCATATTCACTATATTCGTTTGAAATATTTTTAAGTAAATTTGAATTATATAAATCATATACATACATATTTTAAATTATTTTTTATTATTTTTTTAAGAATTTTTTTTTATATTAAAAAATATATTTTTTTAAATATGACAATTTAAAAAAGAAAAAAAAAAATAAAAAAAAAAAATAAACGGTTCAAACAATTTATATGCAGCAGATTCATGGGGCGTTATACGACTCATGCATGTGCAACATATGAATATTAAAAACGGGTTAATCAGTTAATCAGATAAGAAAAAAGATTCTGTGATACAGGAATTCTTTTTTTCAGAAAAAACAGTGATCTACAGTACATATCGGAAGTTCCATGGAATTATTAAGGCTTTTGTTTATTATTTTTTGTTTATTTTATTTCTTGTTTTGATTCTTTTATTTTCTATCCTTCCTTAAAAGTTTAATTATTTTTTTTTGCATGAGAATAATTACCTTTTAAGTGCAATGAATAGGATTCTAATGAAAGTAAAAAGGTAAAACCCGTTTCTTTTTTTCTCACAAGAAGTTTTTCGGCTTATGCCGATAACGTAAATAAATATTCGAAAAGCTATTCTACTAATTTAGCACAATATAGAACCACTTAAATCTCATGAATTTATTTCAGCCAAAATAGAACCTTTTCTAAGAAGAAATGATTCGATATGGGAAAAAATAATTCAGTCATACCAAGGACATCAACGCTAAATAAGTATTATGTGAGTTCTTTACGTGTGAACTGTGGACAAATAATAGCGCCAAAAGTGAAAGGTATAATTGTAGAATAGATGGTGAGAATCAGCAGTAAACTTATAAAATACATAAAATACATTAATATAATGGAATAAAATTCGATACTTTTATGTATGACAAATCAAAAATCGACGTCCAAATCGTTCACTCGTAGTACCGTATGTTATTTATTAATTAATATCTTGGCAATAATCAAGAAATTGGAACGTGATAACCGATAATGTTGCATAAAGTCAAAAAAAAAATAAATAAATCCAATAAATAAAAATGCTTTTCGTCCTACAAAGTAACGAACTACAAATTCTGAAAAAAATTGTCTTCGTTATAATTGTTTAGCGTCCACATCACGACATTTAATTGTACAGAGTTTTTTGTAACCATAAACAAACATTATCTGTTATTATTAACGCCACAATTAATTACGTAAAACAATGTTTTTTCCTTATGTTGAAATAAAAAAAAAACCTTCGATGCATAATTTCATTTTCGACAATTGTTTTTACCGAGAAAGTAAATTATATTACATATCCGATTTTGACATATGAGTGATTTCTAATAAAGATCATAAAACACTGTATCGAAATTATTATTTTCTTTAGTAATTTTTTTTTTTTTTTTTTTTTTTTTTTTTNTAATTTGTAAGTCGTCTCTTTCAAGCAAGTCAAAAAGTATTTCCTTATTTAATGAAGGAAAGATTTTTGAAGAAAAAAATGGTAGAGGATTTTCGCAGATAGATTTAAAACAATAATCTTGTAATTTCTTGCAATTATCAAGTCTAAACACAGCATTAAGAACAAGAACAAAATTTTTATCAACCCATTTGGTTTGTTTTTCGATTAAATAATCTCGAACATGTTTAAATAATTCTTCAAGAAGTAATTCATCAGATGCAACTAGCAAACCAAGAATATTTTCACCTGATTGTTTAGTTAAATCAAGTTCACCAGTATAAATATATCTAATAAAAAATTATTTATATTTAAGAATAAATTAATAAATTTAAATTTCAAAAATTTATAAATAAAAAAAATAAATAAATAATTCTCACTTCAAAATCATATGAAAAACAGTTGGAGTAATATTTGGTTTGTTAAACATAATCATATTATCCTTTTTTGTAATCCAATTAGTAGAAAGAGCAACTTTAAAATAAGGAGAACGAGCACGTAAAATAACAGAATGTGCACGAAATTCCTTTGTATTTTGGTTTTCACCAACTTGAATAATGACATTGTAATCATCTGCATCATCTAATATTAAGGAAAGGTCTTCTGAAAGACGAAAGTGAAAATTTGAAGCCATTTTTTTTTAATAAAAAAAAAAGAAAAAAAAAAGTGCTATTAATGTCATGTTATGGAAATAACCATGTGATTTACGGCTTAAATATTTGTAACGTTGCACTTTATTTGTTTTTAACGAGTGTGGGTTGGAAGTGTGGGTTGGAGTATGGGTTGGGAGTGTGGGTTGGGAGTGTGGGTTGGGAGTGTGGGTTGTGGGTTAAGAGCGTGGGTTGGGAGTGTGGGTTGTGGGTTAAGAGCGTGGGTTGGGAGTGTGGGTTGTGGGTTGAGAGCGTGGGTTGGGAGTGTAGGTGGTGGTGTTTTAACTTCTTTTTTTTCGTCTTCTTTTTTTAGATCTATTCTTCTCTCTGTTTAATTGTGATTCACGCTTTCGTTGTTGCTGCATTTGAAACTCCAGTACCACTGAAAAATATCAGGAATCAAGTGAGCCAAGTGATCAAAGTGACCAAAGCGATTAAAGATGTCAAAGTAGTCAGATTCATGCAAATGTCATCGAACATTGTATTGGACCAGGCTGCAAGATCAGAAGGAAGTGATCTTACAGCGTACAGTTATTAAAAATTTATGTACAGTTTTTATAGGTAGTATTTATTGTTTATTTATGGTTTACTTTTTATTCCTATATTACTATTAATTTATTGTTAAATCAACGTCAAATAAATATTTTTATTTTTATTTTTATACTTTGCTTTTTTTAAGTATTGTAATTATTGCCACGATGAAACATATAAATGCACTAGTGTACCAATTAGTTTGAATGAATTAGCGAAAAGTACATTAACAATCGTACATTATCGGCTATAATTTAAAAGGAAAAACTTTCAGCTTATAGATTTCATTTTCAAAATTCCAGCTTCCCAGATTACTTTCTAAAAAACTACATATATACAGTACGTATCTATATGTTTACACTGATGTTATACAGTTATACAATGAATTTTTTACTTTTTTTTTCATTAATGGTTTGCATAAAAAGAATGATAAGAATGAAAATACATTATTATATTTTTAAATATTCTTTGATCAAATCCCCCACCCTTTTTTAAAGCCGGGTATATTACCTATGTCACTTTTTTTTTTAATCACATCGTAATTTTATAATTTTTTTGGTGAGGTTTTTATTGAAATAAGTTTTAAATAATCTTTTTTGCTAATAAATTTTTTAATTATATCTGACATTATTTTTAAAATGTAAAATATATGGAATGTGGTTTATTTTGAACTTGTTCATTTCTATTAGAATCATGACATATGATTGAATTAGATGATGCAAATTGCAAAGTGTTAATTAAATTTGGTTAATTTATATTTAGCGAAGGTGAGTCATAAATAATTACTTACAAAATTAGGAACGTCTAAAGCCGTGTTAGATCACGTGATTTTAGATTCATCACTTCTTACCCTGTTTTCCATTTCTACTATTTATACTGAGAACTTAGAATTTTTCAGTATGTGAAAATTTATTGTCACGCCTCAATTTGTCACATAGTTAGTATGAAAATTACATGATCGCCCAAAATTAGTGATTTTTGTTAAATGGAAAATTTATTTAATGAAAAAAACGATTTAATTTTAAAGATTCTACTATTCCTATGAATTGTGATTTACCAATAAATAATTGACATAGTGCTTGTGTAGTACCAAAATTTTTTTAACACATAATTTTGAGCAGGCACTATATATCCGGGTTGCGAAAATTTAAAAATGTTTAATACTAAATTTATTTTGTTGACTAAAAAATTTTTGATCTGAAAACTAGGCCATACAAACCCAATTTCAAATATGAAAATCAATTTTACCACTTAGTGTCGCCTTAATTATGCAAATTTTTGTATCTTAATTTATTATATTCTCAGAATTGTTATTTTTTGTGTAGCAGTAAAATTTGATATTAATTTAAATAAATTTATCAGATGTTTTTTATGTAAATTATATAAAAAATTTTACATAAGATTTACATATTTCGATACTTGATAAATAATTCAGTACGATCTTCCAATAAATACTAATAATATAAGAGGCTGTAAGTGTAATACTGGTAAAGTTTGGAAGGGCCCATAATAATGGCTACGGATTTTTTCATTGAAAAAGTGTAGCATCAGAAAGAGTTCGAAGAGTTCCTTATGATGAAAAGATAAAATAAATTAAGAAATGAAGAGTTTAAACTGTGATTGGAATCATAAAATAAATTTAATCTTTTTGTACAAAAGAATTTAAACAAAAAATAAAAATTTCATCACAATTAGATTCATTGAGGAAACTGGAATTTTAGATCTTTTTAACAGCGGACTTTATTTTTATTGTTGGTTAGTAACAGTTATTCGTAAAGAAATTTAATTACACAAGAAATAGAAATAGTTAATTGTTATAGCTTTAACATCCAAACGATTCTTTCATTTATACAAATATGCCAATAATATTATTGCCAATAAAATGGCATGCCAAGACATAAAATTGCGTTTATTTTTACGTTTATTAAATGCTTGTTTAACGCTTAAAGTGAAATCTTTAAAACAAACATGCAGTGTAACGATATTTGATACAGTAAGTTAATTATTAATGTCATATTAAAAAATTTCATTGCGTGCAATCGTTTGAGCATTCCAATATTAAACCATTGACAGCATAAAAGATTTTAAACGTATAATTAATTGAATCTATTTACTAAGGATGATGATAATAAATATACTATAGAATTTTAGATATTAGATATAGGAAGGGCGAGAATTAATTGTCGGGCCTACTTGAACAAGTGAAAATAGTTTGCTTTGCTTCAATTTTCGTTATACAGTATCTACTAATTCGAGAAATCAGAATAATTTTTTATATAGTAGCAAACAATAGAATACCAAACATTGCGAAAACTAGTATTTTTTAAACTTTATAAATTTTATAATTGTTTTATTTCTTTAATAATGTAAAAAATCTGAAGAGTAGCTTTATTATTAACTGAAAATTGTATTATTTGAACAAAGTACGACCTGTAAAAGTATTTAAACTGCGCTTTTTTGGCATTTTCTCGTCATCCAGAAATTGTGGAAAGATGACACAATGCTTATTGGAATTGCCACAATGAGACGCATTGAATGGTGACATTTGTTAGCATACTTTACATTTTAGAAATTTTGAATGATGAATGATAATTTAATGCTCCTCAAAAAGTGCCATCTATATACCTTTTGCAGGTTGGTATATACTATATATTATTGTTAAAAGAAATATTTATTAGCGCTTTTTATTACGGATTTACGGATGAAGACAATACAAATTAGTTACATAAAGAACAATGTTTTTTTCTTAAATCCAATAATCTTTTATTCTGCTATGAATTGAATACAAAATGAATAATATATAATAATTCCCTTAATAGATATACAGAAATAAATTATGAAAATACACATCCCTAATACATCTCATCTATAAATTCATAGGCTTTAATAAATAAATTATAGTATTCTTTAACTTTAATATTATATGATTCAAATTCCTTCAATTCATCTGTCATATTAAACAACTCTTTTTGACACTGACACCGATTTCTATTAGTATGTATACTTGCGATAGCTAAATATTCAGCCCTTTTTTCTTTCATAATATATTCCTTTATATATGGTAAAATATCAGCAAGTACTAACATACTAGTCTCGAATAATAATTTCTTAACAAAAATATTTTTTAAATTTTTTAGAAATACTTCCCAAGCATTTTTTGTAATCTTACCACTAAAACTCAAATTCAAAAATTCTAACTTACAAGGAAGAACATGTGTTAATCTTAAAAATAATTCTATTGTAGATTCATTTTTTTCATCATACGGAAAATAAAAATATATGGAAAGATAATTAAGGTTTTGTACGAAAATTTTAACTGAATCTAATATATTATGAGCTTTCTGAATACTAGATGTATATATATCAAAAAATTTAATTCTCTTACAATAATTATTAATAAGTTCTAATACTCTGTATTTTAATACACCAACATTTGAGTTAAATCCAATATTTTCTAAATATCCCCCAAATTTTTGAAATAATAATCGTATTGATTCAATTTGTAAATTTCTATCTTCATCCCTTGATCTATGATCATCTTCTTTCCTCATAAACAAAGATACTAATTTAAATGGTTTATTAACATCAATGATTTGTTGAATAAAACTAGAATTAAAAATAAGACACTCAAGTATATGAATAGATTCTAAAACATTTAACTGTTCAAATGCCTCTTTTATATGTAATATATTTTTAAAATCAATTTTATAAAATATAATTATCTTTAAATGCTTTGAACTATTAGAACCACATATGATATTATCTAATCGTATATTATTTTCTGAAAATGGAAAGTGTGAAAAAATAAATTTTTGAAGATTTTTTTGTGAATTAGTAATCTGTGATAATTGATTTTTAATTGTCATGTAGTTATTACTAAAACTTTCATAATTTGAAAATCTAATATGAAGTGATGAAATTAAATTGCAATGATAATAAAAACATTTTAAAAAATTATAATCAAATTTATATTTTATAATTTCTTCATTAAAATGAAGTTTTAAATTTTTTATATTACTAATGAATCTTGGATTTTGTAAGATTAATTTAAAAATAGAATTAAAAAATTTTCTGCTCATAAGGTAATTAAATGAAATATCAATTTCAAAAGTATATAATTTAGCTTCATTTTCAATAAATACATTAATTAATAATAAAAAAATACGTCCTTTTGAACAGGTAAACATTTAGTTAATTTTAATCCAATTTACAATAATGGAACACATGTTTCGTGTATTTATACATTTAATAAAATTGGAATAATTAAATAATGTTTTTGAAGGAAATACATTATTGTTAATTCCACATCGATTTAATTGTGTTTTGTCCTTTTCATTTATATTATGCAAGTAAATTTCAATAAAGTGGAAGTTTTTAGGATTTTTCATTGAAAACGGGTCTTTCCATAATAATGGAATTGCCGTTTGACACCAAAATCTATTGACTAAAATACATGAACGTAATGTTGGAATATCATCCCGAAAGTATTGTATAATATCATATGTTAATTCGGGCAAATCTCCTAACAATATTTTTGAGCATGCCATATTTCAAACGAAGGGAGTATTATTTTTTAAATTATTCAAATTATAATTTTTTAGTGTTGTTGCCGCAACGGGTGTTTGGATCCTATTCCATTTATAGATAACAAGGAATCATCATTTTAACCAATCAATTTATGGAAAATCGCAAATGGTTAATTTATGATCCGAGCAGTCGCAAAACGTGATTGTGTGAAACAGCATAATGACAATTAGTGACAAGTAGGATTTTGTTTAACCAAAAAAACCTAAGTCCCTCAGATACTTACGGATTAATCTATTGTTTGGAAACAGGGGCGGGATGACTGAACGTGAGTCAGCCACAAAAATTCATATGATTTTTGGTGCAAATTTATGTCGATCGCTTGTGATTTTTTTCTGATATCCGATTTTCATTCTCATATCCGCTGATCTGCAGAATGTATGAAAAAGATCAATGGACCGGACATCGTAAGTCACAACCTTTTTATTTTTGACACAGTCATATAAATTTTAATGCAGACTGAATTAAACTTTGATCGGATTTTGCTACCATCGGTGCTGAACTGTGATCGGACCAAACTAAACTTACGTGACCGATTTTCTTGTATTTAATAAATTTATTAAATTTTTACGATTAGTAAAAAATTAGTTGTAGATTTAAGTAAATATTTTTTATATAATAGAAACTCAAAAAAAATTTAGAAATAGCTCATGCAAAGTAGTATTTTGCACTCCCTGATTGTGGGCGCGGTTTTATATGATCACGTGAAATTTATTTATACAGTTTACAGTAGGATCGGCATCATGCATGAATATAAACCGCGCCCACAAAACGGAGCTGCTATTTTTAATGGAATGCTTACAGCCTTACATCTTAATTTTATTGTAACTTTAAAACAAGTGATGTATACTATATCTATGAATACATTTTGCATTAGCTTATATTATGATTTATTATTTTCTGTGTCAGAGAAAGATTAATTAAAAAAATAAATAAAAAATAAAGATTTTGGATCAGCGGGATAATTTACTAACAGATTATCTTATTTTTCTTAATAAGGATAGAAAAATATTTTTTTCTTAATAAAATAAAAATTTGTTAGTTGTACCAAAGTATCACACAATTGCAGTGAAAAATGATATAATAAATTGATAAATTATGCCATAGCAATGTCAATAATATTTAATGGACAGAATAATTTATACTTTTGAAAAATCAAGAAAAAAAATCAAGTATTAAGTCACTGGGAAATATATGCTGTATGTTCCATAACATCAAAATTTTGTCCAGTGTCCAGTTATTAGTTATTAAATAAGTGCAGCATAATAGCTTATAATACAATAAAATATCTGTGAATGGCAATCATGAAATTATTTATTTAGCATATAGTATATTTCTTTATTACATCACATTTTATATTACAAAAATAATTTACGTATGATTGACTTCAAGGACGATGATAGAATTTTAGATATCATAGAAAGAATAAGAATGAAATACTGACCGTCCTACTTGAAAAAAAAGTTTGGTTCACTACTTCGATTTTCGTTATATCTACTAATTCAAGAAATCAGAATCATTTTTATAAACTGGAAAATCACTTTTAAATTTTATAACTATTTTATAATTTTATTAACTCTTTAATAATGTAAAAATCCGAAGTGAAGTAGTGCTTTGTTATTGACTAAATTGCATTATTTGAACCAAGCACAACTTGCTAAAAGTATTTGAGCGGCACTTTTTTGGCATTTGCTTGCTATCTAGTAATTGTAGAAAGATGGCAAAAGGCTCATTGATATGAAAAGCATGAAATGTGGATTCTCTGCGATCGATAGGTAATGACTGAGTTATTAGTACTTTACATTTTAGAAATTTTCGATGTCAATTCATTATCTATTGATCACAGAAATAACTAAATACAACTACTAGTATTCATAATAACGATTCAAATGCAGCTTAAAGTTCTCCAAAAAGTTCCATCCAAATTCTTTTGGCAGGTTGGTATATATTAGTTTTTATTGTTGGAAGAAATATTATTAGCACTTTTATTACAGGTGAAGAAAATACAAATTAATCATATAAAAATAATAGTATTTTTTTCTTCAATATTTTTTATTCTGTTTTAAACTTACTATAAAATTGAATACAAAATGAATAATATATAATAATTCCCTTAATAGATATACAGAAAATAAATTATGAAAATATATATCCCTAATACATCTCATCTATAAATTTAATGGCTTTAATAAATAAATTATCATATTCTTTAATTTTAATGTTATATGATTCAAATTCCTTCAATTCATCTGTTATAGTAAACAACTCTCTTTGACGGTAACACCGAAATCTACTAGCATGTCTACTCACAATAGCTAAGTATTCAGCCCTTTTTTCTTTCATAATATATTCCTTTATATATGGTAAAATATCAGCAAGTAATATATTAATTTCGAATAATAATTTCTTAACAAAAATATGTCTTAAATTTTTTAAAAATACTTCCCAAACATTTTTTTTAATCTCACCATTAAAACTTAAATTCAAAAATTCTAACTTACAAGGAAGAATATGTGCTAATCTTAAAACTAATTCTATTGTAGATTCATTTTTTTCACCATACGGAATATAAAAATACATGGAAAGATAATTAAGGTTTTGTACGAAAATTTTAACTGAATCTAATACAATATGAGCTTTCTGAATACCATGCGTATCTATATCAAAAAATTTAATTCTCTTACAATAACTATTGATAAATTTTAATGCTTCGTATTTTAATACATCATTTACATTTGAGTTAAATCCAATATTTTCTAAATATCCCTCAAATTTTTGAAATAACAATCGTATTGATTCAATTTGTAAATTTCTATCTTCATCACTCATAAACAAGGATCTGTGATCATCTTCATTTCTTATAAACAAAGATATTAATTTAAGTGGTTTGTTAAGACCAATGATTTGTTGAATAAAACTAGAATTAAAAATAAGACACTCAAGTATATGAATAGATTCTAAAACATTTAATTGTTCAAATGCCTCTTTTATATGTAATATATTTTTAAAATCAATTTTATGAAATATAATTATCTTTAAATGTTTTGAACTATTAGAACCACATATGAGATTATCTAATCGCATATTATTTTCTGACAATGGAAAATGTGCGAAAATAATTTTTTCGAGATTTTTTTGTGAATTAGTGATCTGAGATAATTGATTTTTAATCATCATGTGGTTATGGCTAAAACTTTCATAATTTGAAAATCTAATATGAAGTGATGAAATTAAATTGCAATGATAATAAAAACATTTTAAAAAATTATAATCAAATTTATATTTTATAATTTCTTCATTAAAATGAAGTTTTAAATTTTTTATATTACTAATGAATTTTGGATTTTGTAAGATTAATTTAAAAATAGAATTAAAAAATTTTCTGCTCATGAGGTAATTAAATGAAATCTCAATTTCAAAAGTATGTAATTTAGCTTCATTTTCGATAAATACATTAATTAATAATAAAAAAATACGTCCTTTTGAACAGGTAAACTTTTTGTTAATTTTAATCCAATTTACAATAATGGAACACATGTTTCGTGTATTTATACATTTAATAAAATTGGAATAATTAAATAATGTTTTTGAAGGAAATACATTATTGTTAATTCCACATCGATTTAATTGTGTTTTGTCTTCTTCATTTATTTTATGTAAGTAAATTTCAATAAAGTGAAAGTTTTTAGGATTTTTAATTGAAAACGGGTCTTTCCATAATAATGGAATTGCCGTTTGACACCAAAATCTGTTAACTAAAATACATGAACGTAATGTTGGAATGTCATCCCGAAAGTATTGTATAATATCATATGTTAATTCGGGCAAATCTCCTAACAATATTTTTGAGCATGCCATATTGCAAAACGAAGAAGGGAGTATTGTTTTTTAAATTATTCAAATTAGGTTAAATTTATAATTTATCAGTGTTACCGCAGCAAGTGTTTGGATCTATTCCATTTATAGATAACAAGGAATCATCATTTTAACCAATCAAATCGCAAATGGTCAATTTATGATCCGAGCAGTCATCCTGCCCGCTTCTAAACGTGGATCGTGTGAAACAACATAATAGCAAGTAGGATTTTGTTTAACCAAAAAATCTAAGTACCTAATCTATTATTTGGAAACAGGGGCGGAATGATTGAACGTGAGTCAGCCACAAAAAATTCATATGATTTTGGTGCAAAGTTATGTCAATCATTAGTGTTTTTTCTTGGTATCCGATTTTCATCAGTTCCCATATCCGTCGATCTGCAGAATGCATATTATATAAAAGCCGTCAAAATCATCACATCATGCTCTGTGGATATACTTAAATGATACTCTTTATGTGAACATAAATAAACGTAAAAATTATGTAACTTTGGCATAAATATTAATATGTTAAACACCACACCAGATTCCCATTTTCTGCAGGGATGTGATTTAGTTATACTTTATATATTAATTCGTAATTTGTTTATTTTTCTTACTCCTCCTATCATAGTCCTGAAAAATACTACCTTGACAATGGAATATATTCCATCCTTTTGTTCAAACCCTAATATGTTGCATTTGAAATAAGTATGTCGTAGACTCGTAGCAATTCTTCATGTTGTCCTTCATGAAGTGGACAAAATTGTCTACATGAAATTAATTAATAATTAATAACAAAACAGGGAGTGAGTTGTCCATGAGAAATCAAAAAATGGAGTGAAAATGTAAAAATAAAAGAGAAAAGTGGACAAAATTGTCTAAGAACAACCCTGTAAAAAAAAAATGTCCGGAAATTGTAGCTAAAAACATCCGGAAAATGTCCGTGTGTCCGGAAAACGTCCAGAAAATTGCAATATTCCGGACACTTTCTGGACGTTGGGTCTGAACCCTCCTAGACATTTTATTCAAAAAATTACAATTTATTCTTTTAATATCAGTTTTTTTTTTTTATCTTTTACATATAGGTGATACTACATCATAAAGTAGATGATGATTTTAGAATTACAAAACTTTATGGAATAACTCAAGATCCGGAAACAGAAAATTATGTAATGGTTTTAAAATATGCAAATGATGGAAGTTTACGAAAATATTTGGACACAAAATATTATGAATTAAATTGGAAAAGTATATTTAGACATTTAGATGATATTATATCTGGACTTAATTTTATTCATGAAAAGGAATTAATTCATCGAGATTTACATATTGGTAATATATTGAAACATGAAAATAATGTTGCTATAACTGATATGGGATTGCGTAAACCTGCGAATTGTAATTTATCAAAAAATAATATATATGGTATTTTGCTTTATATAGCTCCTGAAATTTTAAGAGGAAAAAATTATACAAAAGCTGCAGATATTTACAGTTTTGGTATAATTATGTATGAAATAATTTCTGGATTACCTCCATATTATGATACTAATCATAATGAAAATTTGGTTATAAAAATTTGTCAAGGACTTAGACCAAGATTTAATATTAACGTGCCACAATTAATTGTTCAGTTAATCAAAAGGTGTTTGGATGCAAATCAATTAAATAGACCAGCAACGAAAGAAATTATTAATATTTTACGTAAATGGCAATATAAAGAAAGTGATAGTGAAACAGCTGAATTACAGAAACAAATCAAAGAAACAGAAAAAATCAATAACAATTCACGAGTTCAAATTATGTCTTCAACTAGTTTAGGAATATCATATAAACCACATTCAGGGGCTATTTATACAAGTAGATTGCTTAGTTTCAATAATCTTCCTGAATCAAAAAATTCGGATGATTATTATGAGAAAAACGATAATATAATAAGCAAGGAATTTTCAGGTATTAATTAAATACTTATTAATTGCTGCCTTTTTAAATGTATTTAGTCAATATTATACTAATAATACAATCCAATTTATTAAATAGATCTTTACAACTTAGGTTTTCTCAATTAAATATTAATAAGAGTGGTAAATAGTTTACTTAAGTAATGACTTTAAACATACTTAGTTTATAAAATACTAATAATAAAGTGTTTTTTTTTTTTGACCTTTACAAATTAATGAAGATAGTAAATATTAATTTCTGCATAATAACTTATTTTTTTTCATTCGTAATTAATGTAATATTTTTTTTATTATTAGGTCAAAATAGCAAATCGGACAGTAAAAGAAAAAATTGTTTCTTAAATCAAAATAACGAATCTGAGAGTAAAAGAAAAAAATTAGAATAGAATGAAATCACAATTATATATCCTTATTTAACTTTATTCCGCTATACCGAGTTTAATCATAAATTTTTTTTTTTTATCTTAAAAAAAAATTGTCATTATAATTTAAAATTCTGCTTAACGTTGACTTTTTTTTTTTGCTTTTCTATAATTATTTGAATCGCAATTTTTTTTTAACCACATATAAACGAAAAAGTGGATATGAATTATGTTAAGTAGAATTTTAAGTCGTAATGACTTTCATATTTAACTATTTATATGTTTATATTCATTGATAAAATAAATAACTATTAAATTTTTATACATTATAGCGTGATGAAAGAATAAAATTATTGTAGAGTGAATATAATTTTGTTCTTAATGCAAAAAAGGTTTTATTGTTGTGACGTTTCTTAATATATAATATGTTATGATCACATTAATTGTTTATAAACATCATCACTTCAATCTACATATTTGTACTCAGCATCCCTAGAGCGTCCCTAAAAAAACAAAAATAATATAATTTATATTTTTTATTATATTTTTATTTATATATTTATTTCATATATTTTATCCATAAATTTTTTTTGCTACCGGGCAATTTTTGTCTTTTATTTTTGCGTGTTTGCTCTATTTTTTTATGGTTTCTCATAATATAATAAACTATTAACTAGACGCGATTATTACATAATACTGTATATAACAAATGGGCAATTTACTCCATTTTTTATTAATTCCATTTTATTATCTTATTATCTTATTATGGTCAATCAATTTGTAGTCTTTTAAACGAAATTGCCTTATTTTGCATTGAAATTCAATGTCACGTGACTGTATTTTGGTGATGTGAGCGTTTTACAAATTACAATGATTAATAAAATAAATGTCAAACAATATGAATCATTAATTTCCGAGATACTATGAATATTTCAACTTTAAGAATACACAACAAATAGGAAAAAGATTATTTTGGAACGTCTCTCGTGCTACCTAGAAAAATACTACTCGTTATTTCGCTTTGAAATCCTTATAATAATATTAAAGAGGTATGAAACTTTATAATCATTTAAAAAAATGTGATATGACAAATTAATCCTCGTATATATCATTTCACAGTTAACTGTTAACACTTCACCGAAAAGTTGATATTCGTGAAAATATTTTGTGGTTTTTGTAAAAAATATATATTTGATAACCTGTGAATTGATTTTATTGGTTATTATTTGATGTAGACTTTTTTTTTCTTACCCAAATTGTTATAGTATCAAATATAAATTGCGTAAAACTTAAGAAAAATTTAAAGATAAATAATTGATAACCTTTAAATTGATTTTATTGTTTATAATTTGATGGACTTTTTTTCATCTTTCCAAATAGTTATATAAATAACTATCGGTTTGCGTAAATAAATAATAAATATATGTATGAATACAAATTTTTTTTTTAATATAATATGCATATATCATAATATAGATTGTACGTATGACATATTATGTGTTAACTTTACTTTCATTTCCCTCTTGGTTCTCTTCACGACACTTTGACTAAAAAAAAGACATTTGTTTGCAATTCATTTCTTAGGAATATCAATATCATCATCCTTGAAAGAATCACTTAATCTCGATTCAATAGTATTATTTATCTCTTCCTCTATTAATTAGAAAATAACCAAAACGATCAACTATTGTTAATATAAATAATGAAGAAGTAAATGTCCACATTACGTACTGCTCTCTGAATATTGGCTTTTGTGTGAGATTGTTTTGCAATATTAGTAGGTCGTTATTTAAGAAATGTTAAAACGGCTGGTCTTCTTATTACCCGTTTTATTCTATTTTATTATCTGGCCTTTACCAGTTATAAATGAAATTTTTTAATTTTATATGTATAACTCCAATTATATATACTTTGTTAATTATTGCTTCGATTATTATCTGATAATTTGTGATTAATAAATTGTATATTATTGTCAATTAAGTAATATTAAAAATATTTGTTTATTTATTTGTCACATTAATGTTATGGACAAATTTTGCGAACCTTGGTGATATTAAGTCAAAGACGGACATCTCAATAAGACCTTTGTCGAAAACAATATGATCTTTTTGCCGCATAATGAAAATGATACACGAGATTTTTCATTGGTAGTCTTTTTTTAATAAATGCCGTACAAAATATATTCTTTCGGTGTTACAATTGTTACATGGTAAGTTGATTGTTTTTTCATTATACATTTTTTTATTATTTATTTATTACCAACATTTTTAATTCAGAAATATATTATGTAAATAGTTTTTACAGTTTTATTAGACTTATCTTTTTTTAAAAAGAAAATCAAATAAATTTTCGTTTCATTTTATTTATTTTTTTTTTTTAAAAAAAAAAAATTTATTCTAAAAAAATGAATTCTTGAATATTTAAAAATATATATCCGACGACGGATATGGCTTGATACATTTAATTTCAAATTCGATATTATTGCGAGTAACTGAAGGAAACATTTTCTAATGATCGCCAAATGATTCACTTTTATTTATCAACTTTTCAATAATACGAAGAAAGAAAGAAACTTAGATTAGTTTTTCAATTAAAATTTTCAATACATTAATTTTACTTGTCTAATTGTTAAAATTATTTATCATATATCGTTATTTTAATAATATTTACCATATATTTTCGCCAATTAACAAAATTGTCTATCATCCCTTTATTAATTTCAAAAACTATTATGTAAATGATTAGTGAACAGTACCATCACTTACGATAATTGTACGATAATAAGCGTACACAAAATTTCAAAAAAATTTTGCATTTCGATATCTTATTTACTTAAGTGGAGTAGTGAAGTAAAAGCACTATTTGAATAATATCTAATGACAATATTTTCATAATACTATTTATTTTGCTTAAAAAAAAAACATTTTTCTTATAAGTTATAATTTAAATCAGATGAAATTACAACAAAATAACACTTCACTAAGAAATTATTATTATTGAGAAATTAAGAAGGTTAAATAAAGGCTTCTACACACTCAGATTTTTGAATAATAAAATTTGCCTAATTTTAAAACCAACAATAATAAAAATATTGGTACTACCTAAAATCCTTTAAAATATGATACTGACAAACAAATAAAATCATACCAAGTTAAACCTTCCCGATTTCTTATAACTTCACTATGTGTTAAACTTAGAATACAAAAAAAAAATGGTTACTTATTATATTTAATATGCAACAAACATGAAATTTTCTGTTATACCATAAACTATTAAAAACTTAAAATCCCATTAAGGTTATTATTAACCTTCCATTGTTTATACGTATTTATGAAACTTATGAAACATATCAAACATATCAATTTTTTATCGATGATGATCACGTAATACAATTCAAATTAGGATTGTCACGTTTTTTTTTTTGAATAATGTTTCACAATAATAATAGTAAAAAAATAAAATAAATAGTACGCTATTTCTCTATACCAAATAAGAAAAAAATAATTTTTACAAGAAATTTTAAGTAAACTACGTGAAACGTATCAGGTACTTGGAGTTACAAATTTTATTCTATCATACTTTGATACTACACCACAGTTTAGAAATGATATCATTGAATAGCGATGTGCAACTGTTGATTGTTACAATGTTACAATGTAAATTTACGCCAACTTGCAGTTGTACAAACTTACATTTAAACGAAAATATTATTCCTAAAAATCTTACGCCGGTTGAGGTTTATCCTTTTGCAACAAAAAAATTATGGAAGTTCAAGCCAGGTAAATTAGAATTTTAAATAATATTAAATATTTTAATTAATTAAAAATTGAGTTTATAATAATTTTATAAATATGTAGAGCGGAAGTTCTTCTAGCAATATTATTCCAGAAATTCACGACTCTGTCTTTTCATATAAAACGGTTCCGCATGAAAACTTCTTCAACAATAGTAGTATTCTTCTAAAATTAGAAGAGGATGGATTTACAACTTCCGATGGAAAGGCAAAAGAACTTATTAAAGAATTGACCGACATCAAATATTTATATGCATTAAAATTACTTTTTGAAAATTTACAAAATGATTTTTCACCTCAAATTCTTCGAGACACTTTAGTTGCATTGGCGGATCCAACCCCATTCGATTTTTATGCAAAACAAAGTGTGACTAGATTGGAGTTACATTTAAGAACTTGGGTAACAGTCTTAGAACGGATATGCTTTTCGCCAATAGTACTTAGTAAAGAACTTCGAGATAAAATTTATAATTCTTTATCAAAATTTGCAGAAATTCATCGTAAAACAACACAAGTTATTGAAATAGGACTTAATAATAATTTTAGATCAAAATTTAACCAATTTAATAAACAGAGCAATGATCAAGATGATCAAATTATAACTAAAAAGCGTAATTATAACATTGACTTCTTATTAATCCACTTACGAGACACATTACATAGTTTGCGTGATGATGAAACTTGGTTCCAAGAAATTATACGAAGAACCAAAAATTTACTTAAAACTGCATTGAATATCACACCAGGAATTTTAACAATAACAGGCGTTAATCTTCAATGATTGTTCAATATTATCAATGCTTGCTCAAATACGTGAAAGTTTAAGTTTTAAATATCCTGTAGCATCTTATTATGTAGATTGGAGAATTATGTTGATGATTCAACATGATCTTTTTACCTGATCTGAAGGTACTGAAATGATAATTAGTAAAAAATTCTGTGGATTGGTATTAATGGAATATCTTTGGAGCTTTTTGGAAAGAGAATGGATTGATATAACTAATAAATCTATTTTAGATTCTCAAACTAAATTTGATGAAGTATCAAATAAAGTTACTAAAGCTTTAAAAAACACTGGAAGTTTCTTAAATGATCTCGCTGGAAATGAACCTATTGCATTACCACATATCTTATGGTTTGGAATATTGGATATTGCACAAAACCTTATTCAAAAGTCTACTCGAACTACTACATATGGTCTTTGTTATTATTTAGCAATTGAATCACTTAATAAAGCTCCAAGTAGTTTCATTCAATTTAAAGCAGTTGAAATATTATTACATTTACATAATATTGATAGTAAAATGTTTTCAATGATTGAGGATGATTTTGTTCAATATATAAAAAAATTAAATGAATATAAATTATCAGATTTTTCAGAAAAATTTCAAAATTTATTATTATTTATTAAAGAAAAATATCTTAAAGACTTGAAAATTTTAAGTAAAAATATTGGAAAAGAAAAGAAAGGAAAAGGAAAATGTTTCAATCAAAATTTATATTTAAAGAGAGAACAGGCATCAAATTCTAAGGTTATAGATATTATAGCAAATGAAATGACTTGTCCGGTTAGTAGTGAACCAGAAGATCAATTATGTATTTTAAAATGTCAACATACATTATCATTAAATAATTTAAAATCATTAAAACAAAAAATATGTCCTGAATGTCGAGAAATAATTGAAGAAAATGATATCAGATATTTACCACAAAATTCTATTTATAAAAATTTATATACTAAATTTTCCGAATCTGGATATATTATACCTCCAATTAAATTAGAAAATTCTGATCAAATAGATGATAGTGATGATTCAGATAATCCAGAAGCTGATCTTATATTAACTAAAAAGAAGAAATTTAATTCAATCATTAAATTAAATTCAAATATATCATTATCATCAATACTTTCAAGAAATTCAAAAAAACAACATCCAACATATAAAAATATTATAAAAGAAATAAATGAAAAACATTATGAAAAAGCTGAATCATTGTGTAAAGAATTTATAAATTTTTTTCCTAAAAGTTATTCTTTAAGATGCATTTTAGGTTATATTTATAGATGTCTTAAAAATTATGAACAAGCACACTTATATTTGAAAGAAGCCATTAATTTAAAACCAAAAGAACCAATTGCTTATTTAATTTGTGGCGAAATATTTTTTTGGCAAAGTAACTATTATGAAGCAATAGAAAATTTATGGAAATCAATAGATTATAAGGCTAAAATAAATAACTCATATATAATAATTGGAAATAGTCGCTTATTTAGAGAAGATTATTATGCATACAAAAATTATAATTATGCATTAAGAAATAATCCAGATAATTATTTATGTCTTAAGAATAGTGCATATTGTTATGAAAAGCATGGTATATATTCAGAAACTTTAAAAGTATTAGATAAACTGTTAAATTTCAACAAGGATGATTCTTTAATTTTATGTTATTATGGAGAAACTTTATGTAATATGAAACAATATAGTAAAGCTATATCATATTTTACAAAAGCAAATATTATTGATCCAGAAAATATTCATAACTTAAATAAGAGAGCTATTGCATATTATGCTCTTCAAGATTACAATAAAGTTTTATTAGACCTTGATAAAGTTATACAATTAGATCCATTGAATAGTTTAGCATATTATCTCAAATGTCTAATTTATTATACAAAAAAAGATATTGATAATGCTATAATGGTATTTAAAAAGTGTAAAAAATTATTAGATTTTAATGATATATTAGCAAAAATTCAACAATTTCATCTGGAATATTTACTGAATAAAAATAATTCTATAGAATTAAATAATATATTGATAAAAATTAATCAAATTTCTAATATTAAAGACATTGAATTACTACTTTTTGTTAGATGCAAAGTATATGTAGAATTAAAAAAAGCAATATTAGACTTGAACTTGTTATCTGACCATAGTACTTCTTACAATTATTTTAGGTTTATTTCATATATTTATTTATTACGAGAATACACAGATTTTTGGTTATATCTAAATGTTAATAATAATGATGATCTTTCCGAACTCGGAATTGTTAATGGATTTAGTAAACACATGTATGAAAGTAAGAGAATGTTTAATTTATTAACTTTTTATAATGTTTAATAATTAATCTATTGATCAATAAATTCAATAAATTATTTAGAATCGCAAGTTTATTTTATATCAGATCTGGTAAATTTTGATAGCGGACTTCATCAATTTCAAGAAAATGACATAAATAGGTAAATGAATGTATTTGTGATGCATTTTAAAATTTTCAAAAATTGGGATAAATTTTTTAACTTAAAATTTCTTAGTTTATCAGGAAAGATAATAAGTTCAAAAAACGAAGAGCTTTGTTTGAATTTTCCCATGCTAATTTTTGGGTGGCGTAAAATTATTTGGAAAATAAATGTTAAAGAAATACTAAATAAAGATTGCTTTATAAATTTTAAAATTAAAAGCACTGTAAGTTTTATTAATTGCTAAAATCTCTTTTTTCACTATTTAAAATGTTACTTTTAATTATTAATATATGGATTTATTATAGAATTCTAAACATTATAAGAATCATGAACTAAACTATTTTAAACGTGTGTTAAAATATGAAGATGTGTTAAAACTTAAGGGATTAGGTTGGATTGAATATCAGCTTCCAATAAATGTATATGAATATTATGTACAACCTTCAATTGAAATAAACGGTTCTATTAATATGGTATGCTTCTATTTTACTTGGAACTTTTTATTTTAAAAGAAAATTGATTTTAGTAACTCATCATTATTTATTTATTTATAGCAAATAGATTATGTTCGATTTGGGAATAATAAAGAAAAAATAACTTACTGTATATTCCTAACATTCCTAACATAGTTGATTTATTTCTAAATTTTCATAATATTTATCCAAATGTTCCAGAAATTTTTAAAGATAAATATTTTTCAAGAAAAGAAATGGAAAACTTGCTTGAGCTGAAAGATATAATTAATCACCTATGACTGTTTTTTTAAATTAATACTGTATCATTTTTTTCATTTGCTTTCATTTGTAATATTTTAAAACTAATAAATTCATTTTATTTATTATAAAAAATTTCTATTTAAAATATTAAATTAATATTTTAAATTCTTTTACAGTACAAGTGTATAAATTAGCTAAAAATCTAGAAAAACTTATTATTAATTAATTCGTTATACGATTAATTTATATTAACATTTTACTTTTATGACGTGAAAATGTGCATTAATGTGATAATCAGTTCATCACGAAAAAAATTATTACAAATTTCATTACAGCACGTTTTAGTAAATATAGTTATTGTAAGGAATTTTATTTATGTTTGCATATTTATCTATATATCCTAGATCCACTCTTAATAAGGTTAAATTTCTAATGCAAACTTGCACATTTATATTTTTATCAACTTTGCTATCTTAAAGTTAAAGTTGACCAAAATTCTATTTCCATATGATATAGTATTTAACGCATTATTAATTTTTTCTCACATAGCTTGATTTATTCTGCAAAATTTACATAAATTTTATGTATTATTACAAATTCAAATAGATCGATTAAGTAAATTTAAATTACTCCTCCTAATTTGAAAAGAATATGAAGACATTTCAATATGAAATAAAATTGTTATTATTGAGTAAAGTATATTTGTTTTTTTACTAGCCATCAGGCTCAAGTCAAGGTATAAGTTACAAATTGGTAACATATTCACTCATCTGTATTTGTTGTAAAGAAAATTATATAAAAAGGTTCAGTTTATGTAAATAAGAATGGATAGATCTCTATAAAAGTATTAAGGTTATTGGAATTTTGGGATATTATACATAATGAATATTTTCATGTAACGAATGGTTATTCTATTGGTAAGAACTTTCGAAAAAAAAAACTAGCAAATTTAATTAACTATTATAATGTCGATCTTTTTAATCTCTAATTAAATTTTTTTTTAAAAAAAAAAAAATTAGTAACGCATTTTATTAATTATTTAAATTTTGAAAAGATTACATAATTTTTATAAAATACATAGAGGTATTTAGTTGATAATAAATTATCAACAACCCTATAACTAAAAAGTGATTATAACTAACCAATAAATTTTAGATTCTAATTGCTAAATATAAACTTATTTGTTCGTATGGTTGCTAAACCAAAAAAAAAAATTTTTACAAATTTTTTTTGATTTTTTACTATTTTCCTATGTTTTCTAATTTTCTACTTTTTCCATAATATGTATACTAACTTTGTTATAATTGATAAAAAAAACATATTTGCTAGAATAAAATCAAATAAAGAATTGTGGAAGCAAAAAAAAATACATTGAAAAATAAAGTCTTTTTAATTCCCGTCTGATTGTGGCTATGTGATTGATTATCAAATTACAGTAAAAATTAAAATTCGGTGAAATGATTTTCGGTGAAATAAACTGAACCCAAATATTCATTTAACACACCATATTTTTTTATTCCACTTTATTATATCAATCATGTGTTATTACTATGCCTAATAAAAATATCGGTCTATGAAAATCTGCATGACCCTATTGGGCTGAACGATAATTTATATTATCAAAATAAGCTATTTATAAGTGTATGTATAATAAAATTCGTATAAAAATCATTTATTCATATTAAATGTAATATTACAATTCTGAAAAACATTTCCATAGAGGATTTTTTAATGGCTCATTTAAATGTTATGATCAGTTCCAAACGATAATAATATTATTGTACGGGCCAATATCACTTATTTATTAGGTCAATGTATGATTAGTTACTAATTTTGCCACTGACATGGCAAAATTAGAACCAATCAATACATTGACCTTTCTAAAATAAGTGATATTGCTCCTCCCTATACTAGGGATTGGAATCGATTCTACCAAAATCGAATTAATCGAAAATTGAATCGTATCTGTAGAATCGATTAATCGAATCTAAAAATCGAATCTCAATAAATCAATTTTTTTTATATTATGGCGCAATAAAAGTAATCATGTCATTTCTATAACTACGTTACGGTAAAAAAAATAATATCGGAATTATCAAAATTGCTGAAAAATGATGATCAAACATATATACTACATAAATATCACCATTACTATGCTTTGCCGCCCATTTACTCCATTAAAATCTTAATTCATTAATTCTGGCCAGAATTAAATGATCGTCATAAAATTTCCATTTTTGAAAATCTATGTAACCAAAATTTCATGATTTTCCGAAATTTCCGGGAGCCAAAATTTCCTTTTTTGGAAATTTGTGTAACTTCACGTGACTCCGACGCAAATGGGATTCGGTTTAGATTCGATTAATCGAAATCGAAAATCGAATCGTCAAATCGAATCTTTAATCGATTCTCAAGATTCGATTTTCGATTGAATCGATTCCAATCCCTACCCTATACAATAACATATAAATACGAATAAATACATCCAACTAATGAAATAGGGTATAATAAAAATTTAGTTAAAAATACAAACAAAACAATATTAAGTCTCTTCATAGTGATTGATTTGTAATTTAAATATACTCGTTCTTGACTTTGGTTGTTTCATTTGAGTTGATTTGTTCTGACTGAAATCTAACATCCAAAATTAATGATAAACAAAATGATATCCTAATGTATTTATATTTATTACTTTGTTCGAATTGAATAACTCAATAACAAGCAAACTTTTTTGCTATTTTCATAGATTTGAATTTCGATTCTTCTTTATTAAATAAATATAATATTTTGGTGCTTCTTACTCATTTATTTCAGATTTACTAATTTCAATACATATATACTTAATGCTTTAGAATTATTGTGAGCACAATTAGCATAGGCTATATTTTCCAGTTCCCTGTAAAAATTTTTATCCGTAATTTCTATAAAAGCTCCGTTAAATTTTTTATAAGGATTCAATATAATATATAAATTATTAAGCAATATAAAAATCTGATACTTGAATATATTGATAGAAATAACTTAGCTAGAATACTAATAATATAGAATAAAATGTCAAATTAATAAATGAAAAATATATAAATTGAAACTAGTATAATAATTTTAACACCATAGAAATTTTTGTAAAAAAAGAATAATATTTAACTTTAATATAATAAAATTTAAATTCTCTAATTTAAAATTAAAATAAAAATTTTATCAAATGATTTAAAACATCAATATCCAATAGAGTTATAGTAAGTAATTTTGATGACCCTCAGGATGTTGATGGGAAGTTATTTCAAGTTAGGTGATTTTGTTGGTATTTTAATGGCTTTGGTTTAGTTCTAGTATATTAAGATAAGAATCATACTAACTTCAGTTTGTTATCACACAGTCTAAACATTCAGTATCAGTATCATCTTTTGAAAGATCTTTTGTAAATGGATTTAGCAATCGAGAAGCGTAATAAGCCTGTGGATGAATAGTTTGATTATTTATGTCAGATAAAAAATCTGGTTCTTTATATTTTTCTACTTCTTTAACTTGCTTTTTAACTTCCTCATCATTATAAAACAATTGGATGAAATCCTTTATTTCAATTGCATTTGGTCTATTGTCTGGATTTGGACTCCAACACCTTTCCATAAGATTAATATAAGATTCTGGTATTTCTAGTTTATTTATTTCAGGTCTTATTCCTTTACATATATTAAATGCTAAAACATTATCATGGGCACAATCAGCAAAAGGTTGTTGTCCAGTTGCAACAAAATACATAATCATGCCAAAACTATATATATCTGCTGCTTGAGTATATGGTTTTCCTCTTAATACTTCAGGAGCCATATAAGGCATAACTCCATAAATTTTTGTTTCAATTGCATTATCAGCTTCTCTACATAATCCCATATCTGAAATATATACATTACTAATTGGATGTTCAGAAAAATACTCCTTATTATGGGTCAAAGAAATTAATATATTTCCTGTGTGAAAATCATGATGAACTATTCCATTTTCATGAATTTTTTTAAGTCCCTTAATAATATCCCTTAATAGAGACAATTTTTCATACCAACGATAATTTCTAATAATATTACTATAAAAATAATTAAGATTTCCACAATTTGCATACTCAAGTACAATAATATAATCCTTTGTATCCGGATTTTGAGATATTCCATGTATTCTAAGAATTCCATCAAGTTTATCAATAGAATATGCTTCAATCTATTAGAAAATAAAAACATTCAGTTATTTGAATAATATTTAATATTATTAAGTTCAAAGAATAAAAATTCGTACCTCTTTCAAAAATCCATCAGTAATATTTTGTAAATTACACGGGCATTTTAAGGCAACTTTTTTGTTAGGTGACCTTTCCCATTCCTTCTTATTTTTAATATATTCCAATGGACCATCCTTCCAAATAGCTAAATATACTGTAGCAAACCCACCTTTGCCTATTTCCTTAATATTACTAAACTGATTATATGGTATCCACTCAACAATTATTTCAGAGCAACTCTTAATTTTTAATTGCATTTCTTGAATAAGACCATCAATTTTTTCATTTTCACTAGACCAGTTTGTGAAATTCTTTTTAAAATCATTTATTTGACATTGTTTACACCATTGGAAAGATATTTTTGTGTATATTTCACCACATTCTTTACAATATCTATTATCAAGTACAATAATATAATCTTTTGTATCTGGATTTTGGGATATTCCATACAGTTTAGGAGTATCATATTTATTTCCTTTAATAGAATATATTTTAACCTGTTAAATGTATAAAAAATTTTATAATAAAACTACTTTAAAAAAATGAATTACAAGGAAATTAGGAGTTCCATACCTTATTTAATAATTTGTTAGTATTATTCTGTGAATTATTTAAACATTTTAAAGTGACTTCCTTGTTAGGTATTCTTTCCAATTTCTTTTTTTTATAATTATATTTTAATAAACCATCCTTCCATATTGCTGTGGCAAAACTACTATTGCATATCTTGCTAATATTAAACTGGTTATATGGTATCCATTCAACTATTTTATCATCATATTTTTCAATTGTTAATTGCATTTTTCGAATAAATTCATCAATTCTTTCATTTCCACTAGACCAGTTTGTGAAATTATTTTTTAAATTATTGATTTGACATGGTTTGCACCATTTATAATATATACTACCGATGTATTGATCACCACATTCTTTGCAATAACTATTGTCAAGTACAACAATATAATCTTTTGTATCTGGATTTTGGGATATTCCGTACATTTTAGGAATATCATATTCATTTTCTTTAATAGAATATACTTTAACCTGTTAATTATATAAAAAAATGTTATAATGAAAATAATTTTAGATAAGAAAATTATAAGTTTCATACCTTATTTGAAGAGTCACTAATAACATTTTGTGATTCATTTAAATATTTTAAAGTAACCTCTTTATTAGATTTTCTTTCATATATCCTTTCTCTATAATCATATTCTAATGGGCCATTTTTCCATATTGCTATAGAAATTTCACCTTTGCCTATTTTTTTAATATTATTGAACTGCCTGTAGGGTATCCATTCAACAATTATATCAAAATGCCTCTCAACTTTTAATTGCATTTCTTGAATGAACCCATCAATTTTTTTATTTCCGCTAGACCAGTTTGTGAAATTGTTTTTAATATCATTTATTTGACATTGTTTGCACCATTGAAAAGATATGTCTGTATATATTTCACCACATTCTTCACAATTATTATTATCAAGTACAATAATATAATCTTCTGTATCCGGATTTTGAGATATTCCATACATAGTATTAGTTTTGTTTATTTCTTTGACCTGTTAAAATATAAAAATATAATCAAGATTATTATTATAATAAAAGTATGATTAGCAAAAATAAATTAAATTATATTACCTCATTTAAAAATTCACTAGTGATATTTTGTGAATAGTTCAAGCATTTTAAAATAACTTTTTTATTAGATTCTCTTTTATATTTACTTTCACTATAATTATATTTTAATGGTCCATCATTCCATATTACCGTAGCAAAATTACCTTTGCCTATTCTTTTAATATTATTGAACTTGTTATATGGTATCCATTCAATAATCCTATCATCATTTCTCTCAATATCTAATTGCATTTCTTGAATGAATTCATCAATTTTTTCATTTCCACTAGTCCAGTTTGCAAGATGTTGTTTTATATTACTTTTTTCGCATGATTTACACCGCATTTTTGTATATATTTCACCACAATTATTACAACAACATCCATCTTGAAATACTATAATATAATTTTCTGTATTTGGATTTTGGGATATTCCATATATTATAGGAAAATGTAATAAATTTCCTTCAACAATATAAACTTTAAGCTATTAAATATATAAAAAAAGGTTATAATAAAACTAAAAATTGAATTGCAAAGATATCAAAAGGATCATACCTCTTTTAAAAAGCTATTAATGATATTTTGTGAATTATTAAAGCATTTCAAAGTAACTTTTTCATCATGACTTCTTTCATATTTCCTTTTTATATTATTATATTTTAATGAACCGTCCTTCCATATTGCTGAATAAATTGTATCTTTTCTTATTTCTTTAACATTATTAAACTTGTTATATGGTATCCATTCAAATACTACATCGTCCTGTGATTCAATTGCCAATTGCATTTCTTGAATAAAGTCATCAATTATTTTATTTCCAATAGTTTGACTTGAAAAATTTTGTTTAATATCATTTATTTGACATAGTTTACACCATTTGAAAGATATATTTGTATATATTTCATTACAGTTGTCACAATAGCAGCCATCTTGAAATACTATAATATAATTTTTTGTGTCTGGATTTTGGGATATACCATATATTTTAGAAATATTAGTATATTTTAATCTTTTAATAATTTGTGTTTCAACCTATTAGTAAATATAAAATATTAATGTTAAAATAGAATAAAAGAACTTTTAAAGATCAAAATTATAAAAAAGTAATAAGTTTTATACCTCATTTAAAAAATCATTAATAATATTTTGTGAATTATTTAAGTATTTTAAAGTAACTTCTTCATTTGGGTTTCTTTTATATTTCCTTTCTTTATGATTATATTCTAATGAACCATCCTTCCATATTGCTGTAGTAAATTGACCTTTGCTTATTTTTTTAATATAATTGAACTGGTTATATGGTATCCATTCAAAAATTATTTTATTGTACTCTTCAACTTTTAGTTGCATTTCTTGAATGAATTTATCAATTTTTTCATTTCCACTTGTCCAATTTGCAAAATTTCGTATAATATTAATTATTTGACATGGTTTACACCATTTATAATATAAATCCGTATATATTTCACCACAGATTTTACATTTAATATCATCATCTTGAATATCATATGACATGGTTATGAATTTTTTTTTAAAAAAAAATCAAGCGTAACGAACAACCATTTAAAAAGGCGCATTACACAAAATATATTGTTGATTGTTGCAAAATATCTAGCGAACCAATCATAATTATAAGTCACGTGGTAGAAATTAATGGATGTAACTCAATAATGTTACTGTAATACCTGTAATACCTAAGCCCTTGATAAGTCACGTTGCCACTTTAGGCTTAACAAAATAATACTTTATAAATAAATACAATAATATGCTTGGTGTAATAATATTAAATATTTATCCTAATATTTAAAATAATTTCACAAATTTCGTAACCTGATTTCACAATGTCGCAAACTGGTCCATTCTATATGAAACTTATTAATAGTATCTTAGAGAAACTTGCTGCGTCTATCACTATGTTTTGCTGCAAAATTCTGAAATTTTCTTAACTCATATAACTTTGTATTCATCAAATCTACAAGTATTAGTACTTGCTACTTTTCATGGTTTTGAAATTTTCAATTGACCTTCAAAACCATTCCCTTATTTGTAAATTATCCTAAATATAGATTTTCGTCATGATCTTCAAATTTATCACTTGATTTCTTAATCATCTGGTAATCATCTGACTTATCCTCTAAAATGGTCCACTAGTTTAACGTCATCTCGGACGCTACATTTATAACGCATACAATTTTAAAATACTAAAAATTTATACGCTAATTCTAAATATAATACTACGCCTCATAATTAATAATTTTACTAGGTATATTACGGCATTACATTACTCAGTATACGATGCAGATCAAAATATCTACTTTTTGATCGACATGACGACATTAAATATTTAAATGTTCAAGTCACATTTCTTGATATATATTGAAAAAAATACAAATAAAGTTATTAAACCTAATATTTAGATCTCTCTTATGTATTATGTATAATATAATGTATACATAATAAATATGAAAGAATAGGTTGTGATAATATTAAGGAAAATTCAAAAGGATACTTTACAAATTGATAATTGAAAATTTTATTGCAAATTTAACTGATACCTTAAGAAGTAAAAAAATCAAGTGAATTTGCCAGAAGTTAATATATTTTTCATGAAAGTTGGCACTTAAAATTATCGAATGTAAACAAAATTTACCATTAAAGTGATCCTTCGGTTCTTACTTTATATCAAGAAGAAAAAAATTTTTGATGAAACTTATTATTTACAATTAAAATAAAGATTTAATTGCATGAGGCTGTTTTGCGTGATTTTCATTTCTTAATTGAGAAATCTGATTTTAGTAAATTAGTACCGGGAAAAAAGTACTGGCTGTCACGTGATATCGATCTGACCGGGTGTACGCACTAGTCGCACTACGCACTTATTGTTAAAATAAACAGACGACAGAGTTGAATAAACTGAATAAAATGATTTGCGAGAATTCATCAAAATAACAAATTAACAGTGACTTTCAAATTGTTCGTCTTTGTTTTTACAGGTCAGTATATAATGATAAATAAACGAATTATACGTATATTTGTTTCTTAAAGTTATTTGATGAATACAACTGAAATGACATAAAATATTAAATAGCGTATTTTGAAGTAATATTTAGTCAAAAAGAAAAAGAAATTTGAATTATTTAATCATTGTTCTTCAATTAGTCATAAAATTTCCAAAGAATAATCAAAAATAGAAGGGAAAATGTGAGAGGATTAGAGTGAAAAGTTTGATACGATAAGAGGAAAGAGCGATAAATGAAAATAAATGACTATGAAATTTTTTTTTTGAATAAAAGTTTCAGGATACTAGCCTAAATACGTGTAAATTTAAAGTATATACGTATATTTTCAAAAATTCAAGATACGAGGTTCATCATCTGGAGCATTTGATTTTGTTTTACTTCTTGAATAACTCCAACTTTTTATGCATGATCAATATTAACCAGTTAAATCAATATAGTTGAATGAAAAAAAAAACTTTTCTAGAAATAATTCAATTGATTTATAATTATACTATGAAATGTTCAACCATATGTGATGTTGCCGATCACTCGAGAAATATCTTTTTCAAATAGGGCTTAACTATAAATTTGTTTTGGTAATGACAAAAAGCTTATATATGTTAAATAACGGAATAAAAAAAAAATAGTTTCATATATTTTTACGATATAGTACACTTTCTTAAAAGGAATGAGACAGTACATATTTACATATGTGTCAACGACTGTCGGACTGTGTCAGAAGATAATATTGAAATTATTGAAACTAAATCACGAATTATATTATATTATTGTAACATGTTTCAATTGTTTCATCAACCCTGTAAAAAAAAGTCGATCCGTTTTTTATATTCTGTCTTTTTCTGTAAAAGGCTTATATTTCCGGAATTAATAGCCTTATATCACGGAATTTATCAAATTATTTACATTTTCCGTGAATGGATAGTGAGTGGATTCGTGAAAGGCTCATTTTTACGGAGTTTTTACAGAAATAACGGATAAAATTTTTTATAGGGCAATGCACGATCATCATTGATTAAAATTATATATAAAACTAACTTATTTTTAAGTGTAAACATATCGAAGAATACAAAATTATTTATTTACATCCAAACAAGTATCATCTGGTATTTTCGACGTTGAATAAAATATTTTAAGAAAAAAGAATAAAAGATCCTCCGGAGTCATCTCCGAAAAAACAATAAATTAGTGATTATCAAATTTTTAGATTAATCAGCTGACGATCCAAATATAGTAAAAATGTCATTATATTTTTGTCATATGTTACATATGGTGATTATGATATTTGTGTCAAATTTTCTCAACCTAATAAAATAAAATGTTCATTTACGGGTAATTTATGATTACGTTTGCCATTTCTTATTTTTTTATATCAAGAAAGTTCCCACAAAAGTATGCCTGAAAATATAGAAAATATTTTATGTGTATATGAAGAAATAATAGTTAACAAAAAATATGGACTATGCACTGATTGTAAACAACTGAATACCCATTGGTATTGGTGTTGAAATTGCAATTCCAACCGATTTCAGCAGGATTTCGATAAGTGGACTAGTGATAATAAATTTATAGACAAGTTTATACAAGATTCTCAGTTAAAAGCAAGAAATTGTTTTGAAGTTTTAGAATGGTATCCTTATAATCGTTTTAGAAACATAAAATACCTCGCCCAAGGTGGATTCAGTATTGTTTATAAAGCAATTTTGTTAACTGGATACGTTAAAAGATGGGATAGTAAGGCTCAACAATGGGAGAGAGAATTTGATAGTATATATGGACGAGTTATTAATGATAAAGATTATAAAGATGCAAGTAAAGAAAATATTAAGTCTCCTCTTAATAAATATGAAAGATTTGGGAGGCATGTCGTATTAAAACTTTTAAATAATTCCTCAAATAATAGTGAAAATTTTTTAAATGAGGTAAATTATTTACTTAGACTACTAATGTAAAAATTATTTATCTGTAAACATAAACTTAATGCGTGTTTGTTTATTTTTAGTGGAAAAACTATTTAAGCTATTTACATTCTGCTAAAGATAACTATTCTTATTCAATGCAGTTATATGGAATTACTCAAGACCCAGAAACGTTAAATTATATGATTGTGATGGAATATATGAAACTTGGCGATTTAAGATCCAATCTAACGATAAAGAAATACAATCCATTTGATAAGTATGAAAATTTATACTTTGTAGCAGAATCACTTTCAGCATTACATAGATGTAATTTAGTTCATGGAGATCTTCATAGTGGGAATATACTTTTATTTAATAATAATTTTGCTTGTATAAGTGATTTTGGATTAAGCCAACCAGCAGATAGACATACTAAGTCTAAAGAAATTTATGGAGTAATTCCTTACATTGCTCCTGAGGTATTACGTGGAAATCAATACATTAAAGCTTCCGATATATATTCCTTTGGTATTATAATGTGGGAAATGATGTATAGTATTCCTGCTTTTAATAATGTACCTCATGACTTCAGACTATCCCTAGATATATGTCAAGGATTAAGACCAAAGATTATTGACTGCACAGAAGTTGAATATATGGAATTAATGAAAAGATGTTGGGATTCTGATCCAAACAAAAGGCCAATCGCTAAAGAACTAGTTAGATATTGTGATAAATGGAGAAATGAATTGTCCTTTTATAACTATGATAGAGTACTTGCATCAGGTAAAGAAATAATAGTAAATCTATTTTGATTTTAATTAATAATTTTTAAATAAAAATAAAAATTTATTTTACAGATAATGAACCTGTTATTCAAAATCATCCATTATCTTGTTATATAAGTAGGAAAATTGATTTTTCTTCAATTTTAAACGAAATTTTAAATCAAGAAGAATTGAGTTCAAAAATTATAATTAATAATAATAACAAGGATGATGATAAAATAGTGCTAAGTGAAAGTTTAGGTAAATAATATTTCTTTATTTTTTTTTTTTTCTTATTCTTGATACTAAATTAAATTTTAAAATATATTTCAGAAAATTGTTTAATTTCTAGTACCTATAGTTCATTAAAAGCTAAAAAGCTTAAGAACTAGTAGAATTTTAAACGAAGAAAAGGATTTTGTTATACGATAAAATCTAAGTGTCAACTATATTAACAATTTTTTTTCCAATTTGAGATATTTATACATAATTTTAATTATTGTTAAGATTATTATTATCATTATTATCTTTTTTTATGTATATTTACAGAATTTGATGTTTTATTGTTAGATGTTTTTAATTATATATTAAATAAAGATTATCATTATCGCTGTGGTTGAAACTGCGCCTTTGTCGATCAATTATAATAAAAAATACTACATATGAATTTATTAATCGGACAAATCAGTCGCATAATGCCAAGCTACTTCCATATTACTTTTGTAAATTTTTTTTTATTTTCATCGTATTTTATTATGAAACTACTGGCGATTCAACTTCAAGTATAATAGCGATGAAACTGCGACTTCACACAAATGTAATTATTTACCGAAGTATTTGACTGAAAATAAGATTCTTGCCAGCCTTTTTTAGATTGCAATGTTTAACGTTATTTTGAAAGGTAAACTAAGTTTTATTATTTATATTGGGCATATAATATTAACAAATAATGATTATTGATTCTTATTTATTGTACGGATCCCGATCTATATACACTAATTGGAAGTTCAATTATTATAATCATACTTAAAATACTTGTCTATCTGGATTTTTAAAACTATTTCTAATATAAACATGAAGATGAATATTTGCTTCTTGATATATTTTTTTCGTTAAATGTATATTACCTTGTCAAATAAATTTTGTGTAACATATATTTATAAAGTATTGTAGAGAGAAAATACAAATGGACGAATTTTTTTTTTTACAAATACCTTTAATAGGATGGTAATACGTCAATAAAATATATAGAATGCAAAGAACAAAGCATTTTATTAATGTTTAATTATATAAAAAATATATTTTCAAAATGGCAACTTTTTTCGTTACATTATTGAAAGAAATTATTATTAGCATTTTATTACAGATGAAGACAATATAAAATAATCTTAAAAAAAATAATGTTTTTTTTTTCTTAAATCCAATAATCTTTATTCTCATACGAATTAGATACAAAATGAATAATACTATATAATAATAATTCTTAATAGATATAGTAAATAAAATTAAGATACATTATACATATCCCTAATACATCTCATCTAGTATAAATTCATAAGCTTTAATATTTAAATTATTATATTCTTTAATGTTATATGATTCAAATTCCTTCAATTCATCTGTTATGGCAAACAACTCTTTTTTTTATACCGAATTATACTAATAACTACTCGGATTTGTATAAATCCATCAATAGCTAAATATTCACCCTTTTTTCTTTCATAATATATTCCTTTATATATGGTAAAATATTAAATAAATTATTAATTTTGAATAATAATTTCTTAATAAACATATGTTTTTTTAACATATGTTTTAAATTTTTTAAAAATACTTCTCAAATATTTTTTCTAATCTCCGAGTCCTAAATATAAATTCAAATATTCTAATTTACAAGGAAGAACATGTGCTAATCTTAAAATAATTCTATCCTAGACTCATCTTTTTCATTATACGAAATAAAAGCAGATATAGAAAGATAAATTAAGGTTTTGAAGTCATTATAATCACGTGATCAACAATTCGTCTTGAGTTAAAAATTTTCGTGGTTCGTACCTTAATTTCGAGTTACAAAGTGAAATTGTTCAAAATTAAAAATAAACACCTCACTATAAGGCCTCCAAGAGAGAGATAAATATCGGTATAACTTTGATATAACGATATTTTCTAAAAATTTCATGTATGTCACGACATATCGTTATATAAAGGTTTGACTGTATACATATATGTCCTCACATATAGTGGGAAATAAAATTTTATCGGTATATCAAGTTTTTAAATAGTATATCGGTATATCGAATAACGGTATATCGAGGTTAGACTGTACACCAAATTTGTCATCATCTTGATGGTTCTAAAGAAAAAATGAAAGAAATCGATTGTGAAGAAGTGGTATTGTTGTTGTAGTGTTGAGTGGAGGAGCGGTATAGTTTGCTCGTGGGTACCGGATTTGCTTTCAAGACAGAAATATACCTAAAATTAGAATAAAATGAATTAGTTTAAAATAAAAAAAAACCAAACTTATCGCTCGCTGTTACGAACGCCAAAATTCCAATTTATTTGATAAGGTTTTTTTTAAATGATAAACTAGTAATCTAACTGCCGAATAATGATATTCAAAGTGTTAATCATGTTCTATTCGAGCGAGTTAATCTTTCTCCCAATAGGTAAAACGTCTCTCTAAATGAGTAAATAATTAGATAGGTAATTACTACTCTAAATAAAAAAATGATTCAAGATTTTATCGACAATATAAAGAAATATAAAAAAAAGAGGATTTAACGAAATAATGCTTCCAAAAATCCTTAGATCTCGATCCTAACTAAGATAATGTAGTATTTTGAAGACGAGTGGCTTGATAATATTTGAACATAAAATCGAACAACTTCTTTTTTTCTCTTTCTTTTTTTGGTTTAATTTATTATTAAATGAAAAAATTTTCATTCATCATTTAGGTTTGTCTTGGTAATCAGATCGATGCTGCGAAACCATGGTTTGCACCTTTTTTCCGTTTCTTTTTTTCTTCATTTATAAATTTCTAAAAAAAGATCAAAAGAATTGAATAACTGCATATTCACCTTTATAAATAATTGTGCCGAAGCTATTCGACCATTGACAATCTCTGAAGAAATTCAGATAGCAAATAGATTATGTTCGATTTGGGTATAATGAAGAAGATATAACTTATGTTTCTAATATAAGTGATTTATTACCAAATTTTTATAAAATTTGTCAAAATGTTCCAGAAACTTTTAAAGATAAATATTTTTCAAGAAAAGAAATGGAAAACTTGCTTGAGCTGAAAGATATAATTAACCACCTTTGACTGTTTTTTTAGAAAAAATTAATATTGTTTCATTTTTTCATTTGTAAAATTTTAAAATTAATAAATTCATTTTATTTATTATAGAAAAAAACTTCAATTTAAAAACAATTAAACTATTATTTAAAATCTTTAGACAATTACTAATTACTAGTACATGACTGTTCTAAGTTCTTTTGTGGTACAAGTGTATAAATTAGCTAAAAAAGCTAGAAAAGCTTATTAACTAATTCGTTATACAATTAATTTATATTATCATTTTACTTTTATGATGTGAAATCGTGCATTAATGTGATAATCAGTTCATCACGAAAAAATTTGTATCATACAATTAGAGTTGTGATCCGTCAAACCGTGAATAAACACATTTCAGCCATTTTATGAATATTAAATCAATAAAAAGAATTTTTTTTTTAGATATCTTAACTATCAATACATAATATAATAAAAAATTGACTAATGATTTATATGTTCTAATTTGTATCTTAAGTCTAGGTTATGTTATTATTTAGGCAAAATATTAGTTTTTTTTATTTTTTGGTTCACTTTTTCCCTTTGGGGATTAAAAGTCTTCTCTTGTAATTTTATATTTTTAGGATTCCCAGTGCGTTTCCTATTCATGCGTCTAAGACATATAGGGTAGTCTCTATTTTCTTCTGAAGGGTGGGTCCACTAGGTCCTGTATGGGATGTACATCAGTTGTTGATTTTTGTCTTGCTTTTGCAATGTATTTTGTTAGCTCAGTAATTCTAACATAGAACTTAAAAAATTCAAAATATATTATATATACATTACATATGTGTATATAACCGAACATTGAAAATTTTAACAAAACAATAATAAGGAGGGAGGAGAAAATTAATAATAAATGATAAATAAGGATAATAATAACAATAAGGAAGAATTGGATTGTTCAAAGTATTAACAAACAAACAATAAGAAGGAAAAATACTGAATCAAAAAGACTCACAATATTAAGTAGCAAGTATTAATAAATAACAATAAGAAAAATATTAAACCAAAATAAAAAGTCTTGTGATATTTAGTAATTACTGTAAATTGTAAATATAAATTATTCAGAATGAAACACAAAATAATTATTCAGATTCAAAACAATTATTCAGATTCTTATTATTAGTTTACTCAAAATTTTAAATTTAGTTTCGATCACCTAGTTCAATTATTTTATAAGATTTAATTCATGAATTTCTAGATGAACTTATTAGTAATATTTTTCAGGAAATTTAGTTTATATCTATTACTTAATAATAGAAATGCAAAGTTTATATCACTTTTTATTTTAATTTTTATATATTTATTCATGATTTAAATTTAATAAATCACAGATAATATTTTTTTCCTAAATTAAATAATCATTTTTGCATCAACATGAATAATATATCATTTAAACTACTTTGACCTAAAAAAAAAAATCTTACTTGACATATTGTGAAATATTTTATTTCTTCTAGAAATTTAAATAGCTAATAATGAAATAAGTGAGATTTGTCTTATAACTTACAGTACATATACTGATTGATTATTGTGATTATCAGTTGTTGAGTATAGGAATTCATGTAAAATTTATAGTTCTTAAAAAATTTTATGCAGGCCAAAAAAATTCTATTACAGACCATTATCAAGAAATTGTAATAAATTTCACTTTTAAAAAAGAATTTTAGAAAAAAATTTTGATTTTTTTACAATTTTATCAAGATATATTGCTTTGTCTTATAGACCAATACATTTGCATCTTAGGATGGAAATGACTCACTCAGTGCTGAATCAATACTATTAAAAAAACTGAGTCAAGCTGATTTGGACTCTAAAAACCTCTATAATCAGTTTTTGTTAATTCAGTTCAGATCTGAGTCAGTACATACCAAATTTATTAAAACTAATTTGGAACTGCAGGTACAGTATGATTAGTAAATTGATTATGTAACAATTTAAATAATACTTTTTTTAATGTTATTTTCAGCAATAATCATTAAATTTCTTAGAATATGCAATTAGAAGCAATTTTTTAGCAATAATTGTACTAAGTATAAATCTGAACATAATTAGATTCCCACATTTCAAAAATATTTCTGTAAAATATAATTTAATTATTTAAGCTTTTTGTGTCTTCAGAAAATTGAAAAAGTCAATTTTCCAATCCAGTGAAACATGTTTCCAATCCAGCAAAGTGAGTTTCCAATTCAGCAAAACAAGTAGTGAAATAAGATAATCATTAAATCTCTTGGAATATCCGAATATGTGATTTAAAAGCAATTTTTTAGCAATAATTGTACTAAGTGTAAATCCTGAATATAATTAGATTTCCACATTTCAAAAATATTTCTGTAAAATATAATTTAATTATTTAAGCTTTTGTGTCTTCAGAAAATTGAAAAAGTCAATTTTCCAATCCAGTAAAATGAGTTTCTAATCCAGCAAAATGGGTTTCCAATTCAGCAAAATGAGTTTCCAATCCAGCAAAATGAGTTTCCAATCCAGCAAAACGAGTTTCCAATCCAGCAAAACGAGTTTCCAATTCAGCAAAACGAGTTTCCAATCCAGCAAAACGAGTCTCCAATCCAGCAAAACGAGTCTCCAATCCAGTGAAACGAGTCTCCAATCCAGTGAAATGAGTTTCCAATCTAGCTTCCAGGGCTTTCAATTCCTAGATTGAATGAGATGTTTAAAATTAGTAATTGTGTACTTATATTAGGAAATGATCATTAAATAATTTTACAATCCTCACATTTTGAACTTCTTTTCTGGCCATATACCTAGCACAATACACGGTCAACCCACCCACACCAATAAGACCAGTTACCTTACTGGCAGCTTTGATTTGTTTCAAGTTGTTAGGGTCTTTAAACCATTCTAAACTCTTATTTTCTTTATTTGGATTATTTATATGTAGTAAAGATTAGTACATTAAATATTAATAAATTTATTTTTAATTATTATATGTAGTAAAGATTAGTATGTTAAATATTAATAAATTTATTTTTAATTATACTACTTACCAGTATGAAGTGATCTAGTAGAACTTGCTGCAAATTTTTGCAATATACGTCTAAGCAGAAACATTTTTTTTTTATTGTTTAGAAGGTAAGAGAGTAAAAGTTTAAGAAAGTAAAAAGTTTAAAAGTTTTTCTGATGATGAAATTCTTAAAAAAAGCAATTTATTTATAAAAAAAATAATTAATATGACTTATCATTACTCATATAGTATAGCTAGTATCCCACATATGTGACTCAAAATGACTCACATAGACTCCCATAATATAAATAATATAGTTAAAGTATTATAAAAATTAGCATAGAACAAATTTTATTATATAAAAAATTGATTTGAAACTTGATTCAACTCACTAAGTATAGCCTATCCATATTTAATAAGACCAGTTGAAGTAAATCTGTTAACTGTTATTGTTACCTTTTTTTTAAAAAAAATGATTTATATATACTTTTATTGATATTAAGTTTATATACCATACAAACAAATTATCATAAGCTATATCCACCCAAAAGGATGCAATCATCAAAATAAACTGTTATTGTTACCTTATGTTACGCTCTTCCATTTTGAATGTTGGTGTAATGTAAAATATTGTATGTCACAATGTCACACATAGTGAATTTACTTAGTGCCAGCAGCTAAATTCCATAATTCTGGTAATGGAATCCATAATGCTGGCCAATTACATGATAAATTTTACTGCTAGTGCACTAATGTAATATGAAAAAATGGTGTTGTAATATTTAAGTCCATAATAAATCATATTGCCACCTTGAGCATTAACAAATTAATGTTTTATTCAATAATAGAATATTAGTAACATATAATATAAAATCAAATAAAATTAATAATAACAATATTTGGTTTAAAACTAAATTCTTAAAATTAAATTCCTAAAAATCAAAATGCAATAGTTTCCCCATATTAATTCGGTAATTCCTAATTATATAAATTGTGCTATATAGTTGTTGGAGTCAGATGACCTCAATTTAGTATTATTATCTTATATAATTGGCTATAGTAGATTTTAGTGTATTCTCAAAAAGGAAGGAGCAGGTATAAATTTGGTTAGCATTATGCAGCAACTATAGGGTGCATTTTTATAAAACATGTATATGTATATGTATATGTATATAATATCAATATCATATCATGTCATGTCATGTCATGTCATATTATGTCATATTATGTCATGTAAATTTCAAGTTCTATACAAGTTGTTTATATTGGTTTCAGAATATTGATGATGATCAATGATCTACATAATTGCAGCTGCGCTCATGTTCAAAATTTTAATAACTTTAACTATAAATAAATTGGTAACTTATATATAAAAGTAAGACAACTAACCTAATAACAGTAAATAATTTTGAATATTATTAGTACAATTATCACAGGTCAAATGAAAAAAAACAGATTTTGCTCCATTCAAAATATCCTTACTGATTTGTGCATATTGCATGCTGATTTGTGCATATCCCTATCTATTTATTCTAATTTTGACAAAATCTGATTTTTATATTGGTAATACTAATTTTAATAGCTGATTTGTGCATAGTACTATCCATTTATGCTGATTTTTTGACAAAAATCCAATTGTTACATCAGTAATACTAATTTTTAACAGCCAATTTGTGCCATTTTTAAAATAAATGCTGATGTTAAATCCGGAAATATTACATGTCAAATGAGAAATCAGATTTTGGCAATTTGTAATAAAGTGAAGGCGAATTTAGAATAACATATGCTAATTTACAAATAGACAAGCCTTGCCAATAAATTAATATTCTGATACCTAAATGTTGGTATAGTCTGACTATATTTTAAAAAGTGACCAAATTCAAGTTATCCTTGTATATATTACATGTATATGTAATTTCTAGTAGTCATATACATCCTTCAATAGCTAAATATTCAACCCTTTTTTCTTTCATAATATATTTCTTTATATATATATATGGTATAATATCATCAAAAAACAATCAATTTTGAATAATAATTTCTTAATAAAGATATATTTTTTAAAAATTTTTTAAAAATACTTTTCAAACATTTTCTGTAATCTCACCACCAAAATTTAAATTCAAATACTCTAACTTACAAAGGAAGAATATGTGCTAATCTTAAAATAATTCTATTGTAGATTCATTTTTTTCATCATACAGAATATAAAAATATATGGAAAGATACTTAAGGGTTTGTCCGAAAATTTTAACTGAATCTAGTACAATATGAGCTTTTTGAATACTAATCGAACATGTATTTATATCAAAAAATTTAATTCTCTTACAATAATTATTAATAAATTCTAATGCTCTGTATTTTAATAATACATCACTTACATTTGAATCAAATCTAATATTTTCTAAATATTCTCCAAATTTTTGAAAGAATAATTGCATTAATTCAATTTGTAAATTTCTATTCATTTATAAACAAAGATATTAATTTAAATGGTTTGTTAAGATCAATGATTTATTGAATAAAATTAGAATTCACTTAAGTATATGAATACATTTAATTGTTCAAATGCCTTTTTTATATGTAATATATTCCTAAAATCAATTCTATGAAATATAATTATCTTTAAAGGTTTTGAACTATTAGAATCACTTATGATATTATATAATGGTATACTATTATCTGAAACAAGTGTATATTTATTATGTGCAAAAATAATTTTTCAAGATTTTTTTGTGAATTAATAAGTTGTGATCATTGTTTTTCAATTGTCAAATGGTTATGTCTAAAATTTTTATATCCCGAAAATCTAATATGAAGTGATGAAATTAAATTGCAATGATAATAAAAACATTTAAAAATTTATAATTAAATTTAGTAGTATATTTTACAATATCATCATTAAAATGAAGTTTTAAATTTTTTATACTACTAATGAATTTTGGATTTTGTAAAAATAGATAAAAATAGAATTAAATATTTTTTTGCTCATAAGGTATTTATATTTATATGCAATTTTAATTTCAAAAGTATGTAATTTTAGCTTCATTTTCGATAAACACTTTTAATTAATAATAAAAAAATACGCCCTTTTGAACAGGTAAACGTTTTGTTAGCTTCAATCCAATTTACAATACTGGAACATATATCTCGTGTATTTATACATTTAATAAAATTGGAATAATTAAATAATGTTTTTGAAGGAAATACATTATTATTAATTCCACATCTATTTAATTGTGTTTTGTATTTTTCATTTATTTTTTGTAAATAAATTTCAATAATAAGTGGAAGTTTTTAGAATTTTTCATTGAAAACGGATCTTCCCATAATAATGGAATCGCAATTTGACACCAAAATTTATTAACTAAAACACATGAATGTAATGTTGGAATGTCACCCCGAAAATAATGAATAATATCGTCTGTTAATTCGGGAAAATTTCCTAACAATACTTTTGAGCATGCCATATTGCAAACAAAGAAAGAAAAGGGGGAGTATTTGTTTTTGAAATTATTCAAATTAGAATATATTTATAATTTCCCAGGAGTTATTTTCTTGATCGGTGATACACCTATTCTATTTATAGATAACAAGGAATCATTTTTAACCAATCAACTAAGGGTGTGACAAATTAGGATTTTGTCTAACCGAAAATAAATCATTTTTCTATATAGTGAATAATACATTATCGAATTCTGGCGTGCTTTCTGGTTTATTTATTTAATATATTATTAATATTGAAGATAATTCACATCATCTTCATCATCTGTTTATTATTTTAAAATATTATAAATTTGGATGGTATAATCCATAATAAAGATATTTTATGATGACAAATTCATTTGTAATCATCCGAACCCATGTCTTCTGCCGTTATTACATGGAATTCAATCTCCTTCAGGATTTAATTGATGACACGTTTCATGTTCTACAAGCCTCCGAGCTAATTCTACATTGGATCCAATGGGGACCTGAGGTAAAAATAGCCTATTAGTGATATGTTACAATAAGATTTGCTTTTTTTCTAACATCTTATATAAATTGAGTGACTCTGTAATAGATCGAATACCAACTACAGGATTGGTTAAAAATATTCCTGCGGAACCCTCTAATAAGGATCTAAAACCTGCAACTTCTTTTAAAATAATAAGTTAATATATAAAAAAATTTTCTTGATAGCCAATTAGAATAAAGTGATGAATAAATCATCTTATTTTAACACTACAAGTTATCTTATATTTATTGTTCAATTACATTTTATTTATGCAAAAAAATTTACATATACTCTATAATTAGTGTTGAACAATGAAAAAATGATATTTAAAACTATTTAGATTTTCTACACACAATATAAAGTTTAGGATCAAATTATTGTTAAGACACCTTAATACTTTATTTTTATCACTATTTTAAAATGACTTACCCTTCTGTAAAATCAATAATTTCTACTGAATTACTAGTACCAACATTATCATATTTTGGAAGATCTTTTGTAAATGGATTGAGTAATCGAGAAGTATAATAAGCTTTTAAATGAGTAGTTGATTGATTATTTTCAATAGATAAAAGATTTGCTTTTCTAAATTCTTCTGCTTCTTCAATTTGCTTTTTAATATCATCATTTTTACAATTTTCAAATAAATCTAATATTTCAGTAACACTTGGTCTATTATTTGGATTTGTATCCCAACACTTTTTCATTAAATCAATATAAAATTTTGGTATTTCTTGTTCATTTATTTCAGGTCTTATTCCATTACATATATTTAATGCCAAAATATTATCATGAGCACAATTTCTAAAGGGTTGCCTTCCAGTTGCAACATAATACATAATCATACCTAAACTATATATATCTGCTGCTTGAGTATATGGTTTCCCTTTTAATACTTCAGGAGCTACAAAAGGCATAACTCCATAAATTTTTGTTTTATCTATATTATTAGCTTCTCCACATAATCCCAAATCTGAAATATATATATCAGTTACAGAATTTCCTTCGTTTTCATAACCATAATTTATTGATAATAATATATTTCCTGTGTGAAAATCACGATGAACCATTTTATTTTCATGAATATTTTTAAGACCCATAATAATAACACTTAATGCTTCCAGCTTTCTACTCCAATAATAATTTTTAATAATATTACCATCATAATTATTAATATTTCCACCATTTGCATATTCAAGCACAATAATAAAATCTTTTTTTTTTGGATTTTGTGACATTCCATATGCTTTAAGAATTCCATTACTATTTCTAGGACCGAGAATAGAGTAAGCTTTAATCTATTAGAAAATAAATATATTAGTTTTTTTAATGTCATTTAATTATGTTTATTATATTTTAAAAAAAATAAATTTCATACCTCATTTAAAAATTCATTAGTAATATTTTGTGAATTATTTAAATATTTTAAGGCGACTTTTTTTCCAAATGACCTTTTCCATGCATCCTTTCTCATTTTTATCATATAGTAATGGACCATCATGCCAAATGGCTGAATATACTGTAGCAAAACCACCTTTTCCTATTTCATAAATATTATTAAACTGATTATATGGTATCCATTCAATAATTATATCACTATATCTCTCAATTCTTAATTGCATTTCTTGAATATAATCATCAATTTCTTTATTCCCGCTGGTCCACTTTGCAAAATTTAAAGATTTTATTTTACGTATTTCACAAAATTCACAACATTTCTCACGTATTTGAAGTACAATAGTATAATATTTTGTAACCGGATTTTGGGATATTCCATATATAGTATTTTCTCTAATATAATATCGATATGTATTAACCTATTTAATAATAAATATGATTTAAAAGAATTATAAAGATATTATAATAAAAAAGTAAAAATTAAAATGTAAAAAGAAATTTAAATTTATACCTCATTTAGAAAATCATTGATGTTATTTTGTGAATTATTCAAGCATTTTAAAATAACATTTTCATTATGATTTCTTTTATATCCCTTTTTAAATGTATCATAATGTAATCGACCATTTTCCCATATTGCTGAATATAATGTAGCAAACCCATTTTCATTTATTTTCTTAATATCATTGAACTTATTATATGGTATCCATTCAGTTATTATATCATACCATGTATTAATATTTAATTGCATTTCTTGAATACGATCATCAATTTGTTCATTTTCGCTGGTCCAGTTTGCAAAATTTTTCTTTAAATTATTTATTTGGCATGGTTTACACCAATCACAAAATAAATTTGTATATATTTCACCACAGTTTTCACATTTAATACTATCATCTAGAATATCATCATTTTGAGATGACATTTTATTTTATTTTTATTTTTTTTTTTTAAAAAAAAAATAATAATAATAGGCGTAATGAATAATTAAAAAGGTGGCGTTATTTTTAATTCATTTTATTCTACAAATATTTTATTCTACAAATATAACGTTAGTTAGTTACACAGATATAAACTAAACTATTATTGTAATAAAATCGAATGATTGTTACAATTATTAACGAAAATTTCCGATAAATTGGAAGTTACGTGGTAATAATTGACTTTTTAGGTGGGCAAATCTAAAAATTATATCATCACTATTATTTTTTCGAAGTTATACTAAGGATCGGATGAATGATCGACCAATAGGCCAGCCGATTCCAAATTCATGATAAACTAATACGTTTATATTTATTACTTTTTAATGTAACACAATACGAACAAAAAATATATTTTATTTATTATAATCTAATTATTTTCCTCGTATTACAGGAATAAATTGTTGAGCTTTTTTAACAGCTTCTTTAGAAGGAATACTATCATTACCACAAGATCTAAATAAAAAACTTAAATATTTTAAAGTACCATTAGATTTAGCATATTGAGTAATAATATCTAAATGATCATCATTTAAACCATTATCTATATATAAAAATAATTTTTTTAAAGGACAATCACAATTTTCTAAAAAATTTTTTAAAGATTGTAAATTAAAATCCCAATAAATTAAACCTAAATTTTGTAAAGTTTTAGGTAAAAATTTTCCTATAATAGAAAATTTTTTATTATCAGAAAAATCTTTAGTTGAAACATTATTTAATATAAGATGTTTTAAATTACTTTTTCTTAATGGAAAAAGTAAACTTAATATATCATCAGCATTTAATACTCTTATATCAAGAAATGATAAATTTGGACAATATGTTACGATTGTTTCAATAATTTCTGAAGATTTTTCTGTAGTACGTTCATCTAAAGTTAAATGACTTAACGTATTTTTGGTATTACGTAATAATTTGATAAGAATATCTGAAGATATATCATTATCACATAAATATAATTTTTTCAAATTAATTGGAGAAGATTTAATTATTGGATCAACATTTTCCAAGAAGAATCCATTACAATATTGAAAAGATAATTTTTTTAAATGATGACAAGAAGATAAAAATTTAAAAATGGTAGAATTATTAAAACGAATTTTTGTAAATTCAATTTCTTTTAAAGAATTAATTTGAGATTCTAAAGAAGGGATTAAAGGATCAAAATTTAAATTCCAACAAGAAATGACGAATTTTGAAAGATTTTGTTGAGAATTAATTAAAGTAATTAAACCATTTAATAAACCATAATGAGATTCAGAAAATTTATAAACTTCTATATCACGTATCTTTGTACAAATTTTTGATAATCCAATTAAAAATTTTGAAAGATTTTTTATATCATTAGATAACATATGATTCGCTCCGGTGATTTTAATCCTTTGAATATGTGAAAGAGAATTTGTTGCACCAGGAAAAGTTGTAATATCCGTTATATTTGAGAATACATATACTTTTGAAATATAAATTTCATGAATTTTATTAGAATGATAAATAATAAATTTTCCAATTTCTTTCGTAATTAAATCAATCTTAGTAAAATCATTATTATCATTTTCTTTACATTGATTATTAATAGAGTACCATACATTAACATAAATTGATAATTCATGATAATTAAGTTTTCTCAAATATTTTGCGTAATTAAATAAAGGTTTTGAAGACGATGATGACGATGACGATAATTCGGATAAAATAGTTTCAAAGTCCGTATTTGGAAACTTTTCATTTATCATACATGAGACGTAAGTTTGTATAAGCTGAGAAGAAGGTTTCCAATGTAATCGGCTAAATGGACGACTCCATAATATTGGTACAACTTGACGACACCATGATCGATTTACCAAAAGGCAATTAAATAACGTCGATTTATTATTATTTGAAAGATTTATAAAAACTTGTTCGAGACATTCGAAAGGTATAAATTTTGATGACATTTTTTATTTAATTAGGTGAGATTATTTAATATTGTTAATAATAAATATTAAAAAAAGAGGAAAAAAAAGAAAGAAAAAAAAAGTTTATTTATTTGAATTTTTTTACGAGAGATCATGCCGTAAACAAAACGTAATGAAGATCGATGATGTAATTGTGGCGATACAAAAAAAAACTGATTAAAGTATTGATTTACATCATTTAAGGTTCTACAACATTTCTGATTTAAGTCAATTTAATGAAATTCATTTTACGCCCAATAATAAAAAGAATCATTAAATTGTTAAACGTCAGGATAATGCAATAACAAACATCTTCTAACATTAAAAACCTGTTATTTTTGAGGCTTAAAAAGTTACACAGACTACTAAAATAATAATTTTAATAATAATTAAATGATAAAGATTTCCTAATTAATTAATTTCATTTATCCGTATTTATTGAGGAATTATTATTACCCCGTTTGTTCGTTCATTTAGTTCATTTAGTTTTAGTTTTTTCTCATGATCGGTTGTGTCCATCTTGTTTGAAACTTATACTTGCATAATTATATTTAAAAATTTTTTTATTTACACCAAATTAAATAATTCCACTTTTTTTACACCATTCCCAAAAAAATTATTGTTTGTTTACAATTAAAAATTAAAAATTCATTTTTTTGACACATTTATTATTATATTCTTTTTTTTAAGTGTTTAAATAAACAATTGTTAACAATGTCTCCCGATCTTCAAAAATTCATGGGGCGTTTTTTTATTGTACGACTTATAATTGATAATATTTGTACGAATAACGTTAACATTACGCTTTCTTTAAATTTTATATATTTACACGAGAATAAATATTTTGACATTTGAGAAAAATATTTATTTTTTTTTTTTTGAAAAGCTTGAAAAGAAGTACTCTGTTATACATTTATTTTTGAGTTTTACGAATACATTCAAAAATTTTAAGTTGTAATGTTACGTTTCAGGTTAATTACAAATTTACAAATAAAAACGTACGTTAATTGAGACATAATAATCAAATGTAAATTACAAATTTTATTTGTGCTGAATATTTTGTAAACAATACATTAATCAAAAATGGTTACACGAATTAATTAAAAATTCACATGCTAGAAATGGCTGAAGAGATATGCTTAATTTCGGCCAAAATTATAGAATTTCCTATGACAGGTGAGGCAATGACGTCATTCTGACCCGTCCCTAATTTTTTATTAATCGTGAATATTAAGCAACGGAGTTTAGAGTTAGATTAAGCATTATTAGGTGAATTATATTTAACTCCTTAAAAATAAAATCAAACCGATTAAATTTAGCCCTAATAAAGTGTTTTTTTTACGTGACTTCGTACATAGTCTCGCTATGATGTCGAAAAATAGTACAACTTCAGAAAAAATAATATCCTATTGCTCACTAATCGAATTCAGAATTAAAACGTAAAACTTTCGTTCAAAAAAAAAAGAGGAAGGAAAATCTTCTTTTATTGGAAAAAATATTTTTTTTTTATTCGAAATTTCGAAATTTCGAATTTTTAATTTTTAAAAGCTTATCAAACTAAGATTTAATTTCGGAAGCTTATTTGTCGATAATGTGACTTTAAAATCATTTCCATAGTCACTGATATTAAGTAGAATCTTCGATCTCTATGACAAAGACAAATTATAGGCAATATTTATTGTAACCATGTTTTTATATTTTACAAAACCACCTTTTTCTATATGTTTTAACTTCCAAATTATCTGCTAATGTCGATATACATTTTATAATAAACATATGCATATTGAGTATTTATTGGTCATTTTTATTTTATTTTTTTTTTATTAAACGCCTTGTGAGGTCGTTGAGACCTAGTTCTGTTTTTTTAAGATTTAAGAATAAATAATCTAGAAAATTACTACTTTATAAAGTGTGAATTAATTTTTTTTCTGTTCTCGAACCTCTCATTCACTATCTTACTCGGAAAATGATTAAAGAGCATTTCTGCTAATAAAATTATATATAGGAGAGACTATTTTTCTTTTTTTGTTTTGCTTAGCTTCTTTTTTTATTTTCGTCCTCCTTATATTCTTCCGAATCTTTCCATGACTCGTTTAATAGTCTCTTACATTAGGCTTGTATGTATGATTACGGTATTTGGTATATTTGATTAATTAACGGACACATATATTCGAATAATATAAACAGATAGATAAATTGATTACACTAATATGGTACTTTATAATAGAGTACTATATAATCAGTGATAAAAATACAAACAATAAAAACAAAGCAAAAGGTCATATAAAGTTATACTTATTAGCATATTTGGGAGTCCATTCCCAAGCAGTAGAGTGGCAGTAGTTTCATAACGAGTTCGATCGTGTTTGTACACATGAACAACTTCAGTTACAAGTGGATCGTCTAATATTAGAAATAATTTATAACAAATAACGATCAAATGTGAATATAGAGATATGGATCGGTCATCATTGAAGAGAGAACTTAAGATGAACATAAACTTAGTTAAATTCTTTTGTATGAAAAAATTATAATATTTTCATAGGGATTTACCTTTTGAAATAGTATGCGTTGGTGACCATTCTTTTAGCATATCGTTGTATATAAATTCATTAATACTCGGATGATATATTCTCGTTGTAAAGTTAAACCGGTATAAACTTATGTGAGCAAATACATAATTAAAATACTCTTAACTATAATATGAACAAATACACTTTAGATATTCCGAAAGTGATCACCTGATTAAAGAGGAGTCAGACTACAATACCAAGAAAATTAATATGATTGAATTAGCCATCTGCAGATAAAATTAAATGAATTCTTGTAATTCCTAGTAGGAGATAAAAATATTTAAAGAATAAAAGGGAGAATAAATTAATAAGTAACTCACGTAAGCGAAAATATGAAAATATTTAAAAAATATTCTTTTATTAATAAATAGTTATTGGATTGGGTCAGGACTTCGGCCGATATTCCCCATCCAATAACCGAGTTATAGTTAAGCTATTAGGAATACTGTGGTGACCAATAGGAATTAATGCTACTAACACCGATTTCAATATTGGATGTTTCATAAAAATATCGGTCAGTAAAATTCCGCATATTTCCTAATCGACTGAACAATATTAACAAATATTAGCTTCATTAATTCATCTAACCATCTCATCTGTTAATGATTTCATAATATGCAAATAGTTAAGATTTCAATAAACCCTAAATAGACTTTTCATCAAGATCATTTATTTGATACAAATAAGAAAATGATGGGGTATCGATGAAACATTGAAACATGTGAAAATCATAAATTTATTTGAAATCAAAAATATCAATCAATATAAATTTAAGGACCATTTAATACAATTTACGGAATCACATAGTGCAGGTCTTATTCAAGTAGCACCTTAGTGATACAACATGCAACACTGTACTCCTTGCATTGTAATACATGTAATAACGTGACCTACCACATATTTTATTGTAAAGTACCAATTTTAATATATTATAACGTATTTATATACCTATCCAATGCGCTTATTTGGTTTATTTTTTTTTTTTTTACTCTTTGACAATTTTTTATTATCGCTTAAAGTGATGTGATGCGATAAAAACAAATGAAGTTCCAAATAGGATTCGATGTTTCGGAAGAATATTATCTATAAATTAAATCCGGTTAAAGAATAATAATATGCAATATTATGATTCTTATTATAATAAGTGTACGAAAAAAAAGACTTTCTGATAAAAAACTACATCAAAATAAAAATCAAATTGACTTTGGAACTATACCATTCTTTAAAATTTGAGTTAATATACAGTACTTATTATTAATGAAACAGTATATATATTAAAGTACCAAAACTTCCTGTTTGAACGATCTAAGGTCGATTTAATTTTAATAAAATTATTGAATTTTATATAACAACATCGATAGTCAGATCTTATTTCAAAAATTTAGAGTTAATACCATTGGAGTTATAAAGCGTAACGTTTTCAAAAATCATTTATCTATAATAGGCGAACTCTATTAAGTTTATAAAGGAAAATGATCTCATGATCGATAAATATTAAAAATGTTTAAAAATTTTAAGAAAATTTATTATTTTCAAAGAGTAAAAAATAAAAAATTTAATAGTAAGTTATTAGAAAAATTTTTTAGGACTTTTTAATGCATATTTAATAAATCGTTCGGATGTTGTCGACTTCATGAAATTCGTTACAAAAAGTCAAAGGGATATATACAAGCAGCTGTATACGCGTAATACTTGTAATACTTCTGGAATTTTATAGTTTCAACTAGTGTCTACTTAATCTATACGTAAAGTACACTAACGAAATTACGTCAGTACAGGATCATACCATAAATTCATTAGCTCATTAGGTTTGATGTCTCATGATCTTATATATAATCATACGATGTTATTTAGTTAAAAATTACTATTGTTTCATCTTAAAAAACATAATTCATTATAAAGTACTAAATATGGAAATTAGTTATATATGGAATGATTATATATTTATTATAATTGATCGTCAAATGATCCCACCTTTTGTTTCACCAAAATCTAAAAACCTGAAAATCTTACGATTATAATATTTGTGGCTAACTTTTTTGTGCGTTGTTCTACCTATTAATTATGAAAATAGATCATTATCGAATAATGAACAAGTATAAATATTAGTCAAATTTTCTCTTTTTTCATTTACATAGATCCCAATTTTTTTTTGAAATTCTTATTTGAAAATAAATTTTTAACAAAAATGAAAATATTTATTCTCTTAATCGGTTTACTTTTATTATTAATTGTTAATGTTAAGGCTCAATTAACATGCGAAAAATACTTTGGTGTTTCTCTTTGTAATGAATGTCAAAAGGAACTCTGGAATTCTGGACAAAGTCCATCAACATGCACTTTTTTCAACAAACTTTTTGCGGAAGTTCAATATGATCCTTATACTTTTAACTATAACCTAACTTCTTATGATAAAGCAGTGAAAAAAGCTTGTTCAATTGAATTTTCATGTACTTACGAGGAGGGTAAACAAATTTGGGAAAGGGTTGAGGAAAAATGTGCTAACGAATTAACAATTTACGTTGATTGGAGCGCAAATCCTTCGTCACTTGATGAAACTGTTGTCGCACCTTACGCCACTTTATTACTCTTTTATTTTGCTGTACCTGAATATAGTTCTTTATGTCATAAAACTTCAAATGGAGGTAAGCTCAATTTACGATTTGGTATTTATTAAAATAATGATAATAATAATAATATAATTTAACGATAAATATTAAATTTAAAAAATTTCAGAATTGTGCGGTATAGAATCTATTAGACCATTAGTTGATTGGCTTAAACAAGAAATCCCTGAAGGAAAGGTCCAATTTTCATATGATTTCTTATTCGCTTATAAAGAAGATGGAACTCGTATTAAAGTTCCTATGGAATTAGTAACTAAATGTAGTGAATGTGGTAAAAATATGATGAAAGAGTATAAAAATTGGATGGATCAACATGCAGTACCTGATCCTATCGTAAAAAATATGTTCAATGGATCTTTAGAAGCAGTTCAAGAATATTTTTCTTGTCCCATATTACTCTAATAATTCTTTTTTTACAATATTTCTTAACATAACGTTACAATCTTATTTATTTTTATCACATGTAAAATTTATAGTACAATTAATCAATTATTATCACCATAAGTGAATTATTTATATAGTTATTATAATATAATCTATTTAATAAAACACATACAAATAGCCAAGTTGTTTAATAAAATGTGGTGTCATATAATTTGATACATTTTTAATTACAAATATTTAACAATTATTTGTATAAATGTATTGTATACTTAATACTCTTCACCTTACGAATTTTAAAAATTAATTTGTATTAAAAAGTCTTTGATATGAATAATATTTTGTACTATTATTTCCAATAAATAAGTGGAATTTGATCACCAGAATTGATAGTTTTGTAAATATAAAAATATGATTTTGAGAAATATCTCTATGAGAGATACTTCAGATGTCATAAATCGATACTAAATATTATATATCACATAGAGCGTATAAATATGATAATATAAAAAGTTATTGATAAAATTGAAATACTTGGTAGATTATTTTATTTTTTTCATTCAGTTCATATACATATTTAGGATTTCGCTCGATAACAATACTCTTGAGTATTAGCAAATTATATATTGGATTATCAACATTTTGTATCAGAATTCAGAATATGTTTAATTTATTACTATTAGATTAAGATGATTAACTGATTAAGGTTTCTCAAAATTGTTATGAATGTAATATATTAGAACAGAATCCAAGTAAAATACCAAACTAGACTTCAACTAAATGCCTGCTTCTGCACCCTTCCAAGATAATTAATTCCCAAAGCTCCAGCATCCACCTGGAAATAACTTCCTATCAAATACTCTCAAAATCCTAAGGGCATCAAATTACTATTACTCTATTGAATGTTGATGTTTTTAAATTACTTGATAATACTTAATACATTTATTATTATTATATTTTTATTATATTTTTTTTAATTAAAGGAGTTTAAATTTCTATTTATTATATTATATACTATTAATAAATTAATATTAAATATTATTATTCATCATGGTGTTCAACGTTGTAGTTTATATATTATTTGTAATCACTTTTTTTAATTTTTTTAATCTATGTTATTGGTAGTCTATCTAAGTTATTTTTATTAATAATATATTCAAGTATCAGATTTATTGTTTTGGTACGATTATCATAGTCTCTTGTGAATTGTGCTCATGATAATGCTAAGCATTAAATATATGTAAATGAGTAAGAAGTACCAAAATATTATAATGATTATAATGAAGAAGCAGGGATCCAAATCCAGATAATAGACCAATTGCTATTCAAATACATAGATTAATTTATCTTTCTTTTAATTGTGGTATAATAGTAGATAAAGAAATTAAAAAGCAAGTTAGAGAAACATAAGAATATAGAAAAGCAAATCTTTTAATTATTGATGAAAATAGCCAATCAACTCATCCATGGCCACAGTCTTTTTACACTTTTTTGGTTACTCAATCTATTTGAAAAGATCTTTTAAATATGATAGTATTAGTAGTAATTCAGTGGAAGCTATTGATTCTATAAAGTATGAACATTTACTTAATTTTATTCATTTTAATAAACTTATTTGATTTATAATCTATAAAATGATTTAGAATTTAATAAGTGATCAGAGAATAAAGATAAAATGGGGTTGTATTTTCTGCACGACCACATCAAAAGTGCTGAAAATGAAATATGAAATTTTAAAAACTAAATTGATCCTAAACATTACATTATGTATAGGATGCAGCAAATTTGAGCTTATTATTAAATATTAGTAATTAAGATATTACATATTATTTTTTTCTTTGTTGGTATATTGTTCAAGAGTATGTAAATTTTTTTACATAAATAAAATTAATTTGTAATTGAACAATAAATATAAGATTTGAAAATATTAACTTGTTACTAGTGTTAATGCACTAAGAAAAATTTGCTTGATATTCAATAATCATAATAATAAATACATTGAAAACTATCATGAGATATCATTGTGTTTTACTTATAATTTAATTTTGGATACTAGATTTGAGTCAGAACAAATTAACTCAAATAAAAACAACCAGAGAACGAGTGTATTTGAATTACAAATTTGATCACTGAGAAATGACTAAATATTGATTTGTTTGTATTTTCATAACCTGTCTTTAATTGATTTAAGTAGACTAAATTTTTATCATTCCATATTTAAAAATACCCATCTCACAAGATAGCTTTCAGTTATAAATCCACCTTGAACAAGGCAATTTTATAATTATAAGAATACAATTCTAACAATTTCTTGACCATAGAAGCCAAGAAAGTAAATACTGTATGATGAACTTAACATAATTAAAGTTTACTGACATTTTTATTTATGTTGAACAAAAATCCTTTAAAAAAGTGAAATTGGTTTATAATCAATGTGAATAAATACTGTACATCCAGCAGCTAATGATTAAGTTTTCGATATTAACTATATAAACTATAAAAAAAAACTTGATTTATTTTTTATTTTTTCTTGTTTATTTAATATGAACTCTTGAGATGTTTTATTCATTGCAATATATATATGAAAGGTAATGTGAAGAATTGCTACAACATACTCATCCACATGTAATATATAAAAATTTGTTACTATCTTGGGATTTTGTCATTCCATTGAAATCAAGGTAATATTTATTCAAGACTATAGTAGGTCAGATAGGAGGCAGGAGTAAGAGAGATTCTAAACAAATTATGAATTAATATAACTAAATCACATGTTTGCAGAAAAAGAGAATTTGGTGTGGTTAAATGATAAAGGGTAAAAATTATATAACTTTGGAGAGTGTATATTAATATGTTAGTGTTTGCATAAAGAGCATTATTTAAGGAATGAAAATTGTAGTTAGCCGAAAAATAATTAGCCGCAATGTGATCTGGATTCTGGACGTGGAATTGTGGGGGATTTTCCACGATTAAACTAAAGATGGTCATCAGTCCTACAGGCCTACTCAGTCCTAGACCGGTCGGTCCCAGGACTTGTAGGACCGGACCGCGGTCTTTCATTTTTTCTTGGCACAGTAGGACCGGTCCTGAGACTGACCTGATCTTTGTATTGGTCTTTATATAAAAGTTATTACTTGCATATTGAAACTCTAGAAAAGACTGTCTCCCTGTCTCCAAGGAAAAAAAGAAAATTAACATTAATAAAGTATAGTAAATCCGTCTTTATACATGTTATTTGCTTATAATATACGTCTGGAATGGTTCCTATAAATTTATACAATTAGTGTTCATTTATAAAGGAAGACTGTTCCTAGTAAAGTAATAGAAAATTTTTTATTTGCAGAAAAAAGAAAAAAGACTGATTGGTCTTAAAAAGACTGCAGTCCTTAAAAAGACCGTCAGTCTTATTGTACATGTTACAGGACTGAAAGACTGTGGTCCTACATCAAGATGGACTGGTCTGTCTTTTTAAGGTGTAGGACCGTGAGACTGTGGTCTTTTAGGACCGATGACCATCTTTAGATTAAACTCCGTTTTTCAGCTAACTTCATTATAGAAAATATAATTGGGTATCAGAATTAATTAATAATGATCGACATAAATTTGCACCTTGCGATTTTCTGAAAACTGATTGGTTAAAATGATTGTTCCTTGTTAACTATAAATGGAATAGGTATTTCACCTGATTACCATATATGTCAAGGAAATAACTCTAATTTAAAAAACAAGTATTCCCTTTTTCTTTCTTTTGCAATATCATGGCATGCTCAAAAGTATTGTTAGGAAATTTTCCCGAATTAACAGATGATATTTTTCAATATTTTCGGGGTGACATTCCAACATTACATTCATGTGTTTTAGTTAATAAATTTTGGTGTCAAATTGCGATTCCATTATTATGGGAAGATCCGTTTTTAATGAAAAATCCTAAAAATTTTCACTTTATTGAAATTTATTTACAAAAAATAAATGAAAATGACAAAACACAATTAAATAGATGTGGAATTGATAATAATATATTTCCTTCAAAAACATTATTTAATTATTCCAATTTTATTAAATGTATAAATACACCAAATATATGTCTCAGTATTGTAAATTGGATTGAAGCTAACAAAATGTTTACCTGCTCAAGAGGACGTATTTTATTATTATTAATCAAAGTATTTATCGAAAATGAAGCTAAATTACATACTTTTGAAATTGAAATTGCATATAAATACTTTATGAGCAGAAAATATTTTAATTCTATTATTAATTTAATCTTACAAAATCCAAAATTTATTAGTAGTATAAAAATTTTAAAACTTCATTTTAATGAAGAAATTATAAAATATAAATTTGGTTATAAATTTTAAAATGTTTTTATTATCATTGCAATTTAATTTCATCACTTCATATTAGATTTTTAGAATATGAAAGTTTTAGAGATAATCACATGTCAATTGAAAAACAATTATCACAAATTATTAATTCACAAAAAAATCTTGAAAAAATTATTTTTTCTCATGATATTAATAAATATACTTCACGTGTTTCAGGTAATAGTATACGATTATATAATATCATAGGTGATTCTAATAGTTCAAAACCTTTAAAGATAATTATATTTTATAGAATTGATTTTAGGAATATATTACATATAAAAAAGGCATTTGAACAATTATATGTTTTAGAATCTATTCATATACTTGAGTGTCTTATTTTTAATTCTAATTTTATTCAACAAATCATTGATCTTGACAAACCATTAAAATTAATATCTTTGTTTATAATGAATGAAAATGATCAAAGATCTTTGTTTATGAGTGATGAAGATAGAAATTTACAAATTGAATCAATGCAATTATTATTTCAAAAATCTGGGGAATATTTAGAAAATATTGGAATTGATTCATATGTAAATGATGTATTAAAATGCAGAGCATTAGAATTTATTAATAATTATTGTGAGAGAATTAAATTTTTTGATATACATATGTCTAATATTCAGAAAGTTCATATTGTATTAGATTCAGTCAAAATTTTCGGACAAAACCTTAATTATTTTTCTATAGGTGTTTTTATTCATCATGAAAAAAATGAATCTATAATAGAAATGTTATTAAAATTAGCACAGGTTCTTCCTTGTAAGTTAGAATATTTGGAGCTATATTTTACTGGTACTCCGATTGTAAAAAATGTCTGGGAAGTATTTTTAAAAAGTTTAAAGCATATTTTCATTAAGAAATTATTATTTAATATTAATAATTTACTCGATGATATTTTACCATATATAAAGGAATATATTATGAAAGAGAAAAAGGCTGAATATTTAGCTATTGTAGGATATACTGAAACCCAATTAAGTACATATAGTAATTATAGTTCTCATAAAAAAGGTATGACAGATGAATTTAAGGAATTTGAATCATATAACATTAAGGTTAAAGGATATTATAATTTACATATTAAAGCCTATGAATTTATAGATGAGATGTATTAGGGATATGTATAATATATATTCATAATTTATATTTGTTAGGGGAATTATTATATATTATTCATTCTGTATTCAATTTTATAGCAAATTTAAAAAAGGAATAAAATAAATATTATTGGGTTTAAAAAAAAGCTTTATGTGATTAATTCTCCGCGCTTATAAATAATCTAAATTTCCAATACTGATGATGACTAGAAATCCGAAAAAAGAATGAAATAAATAGGAAATTGTAAAAGTGTATGATTTAATTATTTTTTAAAAGAATAAATCACCAACAGATATCCTGATAAACCCTATAAATAAAATTCTTGAAAAAACTCCGATAAATGATCATTTTTCTAGTTTTCATTCCGAAGAAACCCAGACACGTGATCATTTTTCTGAAAAATTTTTTATAGGGAGAGCGATCTTTACTCCAAATAAAATTATCAGGTTTGCTAAGTCTTTTTTGAAATTATTATTAAATATCAAAAAATAAATAAAATTTCAATAAAATATATAATTTAATAAAATTAATAACAATAAATAACGATTTTAATATATTACAGGTATTAATAAATGATATATGATATTGATAGACAATGAAATTGATGAATAAATTAATTGATGATTTGAAAATTCAAAATAATCTAAATTTTCAACACTGGTGACGACTAGAGAGCCTTTTGCCAATTGTGCACATGATTATGCTTTAGCATTAAATATATGTAATGAAATAAATGAGCAAAAAGCACCAAACTTTTATATTAACCTAATGAAAATGTGTTTGGATCCAAACCCAGATAATAGTAGACAATTGCTTCTGAAGTGAATGAATTTATTGCATATTCTAGTTTAGGTACATTTGAGGAATTTAAGAAGCAAATTGAAGAAGCAGATGACAAGTCTTTTATCTATTGAAAATAATCAATCAACTCATCCACAAGCTTATTATACTTCTCGATTGTTCAATCCATTTACAAAGATCTTACAAATGATGATACTGATTGTTTAGATTAATGATTGAACTAAAGTCAGTATAATTATTATTATTTGTTTTTATTGTTTCAGTCAAATAGTTTTTTAAAAAAATGTAATTACTGTATTTTATTGAATGTTGATATATACGATAATATTTGATAATATCTAATATATTTATTATATCATTATTTGTAAGAATTCTTGGTCGTCCTCGTAATGATAATAAATCTACTACACTTCATATTTTCGAAACTTCAACAAAATTTTAGAAATGATAGATTTGCCAATATTAAGTTATCATCCTATCATTCTACATGAGAATTTTAAAATTCTATTTTTTATATTATAACATGAAATATAAAAGGTGTAACATATTATGAAAACTTATATATTCTAACTACAATTTGTCTTATTTTATATAAGATGCAACAAATTTAAGCCTACTATTAAATATTAACCAATTTTACAATTAGGAGTTAGGAAATTATTAATATTTTTTTCTTTATTGATTGATGTCATTGTATTTTGTTCAACATTAATTATAGAGTATATGTAATTTTTTTTTTACATAAGAAATTTGAAATAAAAACTTATGATGGTTATAATTGCTTATGGTTAATAATAAATAATCTATAAATTGTTTTCATTGATCCATTTATTCAATTCTCTTTGATATGACAATTTTTATACTAAGTTTTCACTTGCTTACAATTCAGATTTTATATTAACTATTATTTCTCTAATTGTGAATTAAAAATAAAATATGATTAAGTGCAGTAAAATAATAACAATACTCATTGTACGTTATGGTATGATTTGTTCATCATTAATCTGTAGATATGAAAATTTATAATACCATGCTTTACTTGTTCAGCAAAGAACAAATTATGCCAGGGATCAACAGTTTAGATTTATAAAGGACTAGAAACAGATTTTCAAGCAAAAAATATGTAAATCTTTTAATGTCTTCTAAATTATTTAACTTTTTTATTAAGTTATTTATTTGCTTTGAAATATACAAAAAATTTTATTTTCTTTGTTAAATATATTTGTACAATAAAATACCTTGCCATTAATTTATTTATCATCATTATAAAAAATTTAAAATAGACTGCTAGCTATATACATTTTATTCATTTGAAAGTATTGTAAAATTTAAATACAGCTTGTTTTTATATCTGTTGAAAGTTTTAACCTAAAAAAGAAACAAAAGTTAACAAGAAATCTCTAAAAATTACCAATCCCGAAAAATTTCAATAAGAAAAAAAGTGCTAGTAGTATTATCATAAAACTTGATAAAGAAGTTACTGACTAGTGTTCTCACAAAAATAAACATTTCCACCCTATAAAAACGAAATGTGTCAAATTTGTTGCTCATGTGTAATAAGTGTCTAAAAAGCAACGATTTATGTTCTTATTACAAAAAAACGAAAATTAAACAAAATGGTGCTTTTTTAGACATTTATTACGACCCAGAAATATATATATAGGGGTCAGGTGATGAAAAAATTTTTTACTATGAGCTGTACGCATTTTTTCAGGGCCGGAATTATGATAATGACAGTCGGTTACTATAATAGGAAATAAAATTCTGACTGGCATTATCAAAAATTATCTAAAAAAGGAAAGATTTTCATGATTTTTTTAGTTAAAAATACGCAAACTCAAACCTGACCCTTTTATATATATTTCTGGGTCCTTATTACACATGAACAACAAATTTAACACGTTCGTTTTTATAGGGCCAAAGATAATCAAATGGAAAAACGTCTAAAGTTCAAACTTATTTAAATCTGACATCCTAAAAAAAAACACAGCTGAATGAATTCAAATTTCATTCATTTAGTATTTCAAAAAGTTTTATTGAAAATAAATAAAACCAATTCTCAATTGGTTCCTATCAGCACTTTGTTATTAATGGAATCCAAGACTTAAAACCAACAATTAATATATCTTATTAGAAAGAACAAAAAACTTTGAAGTAAAACCTTTGAAATTCTATCTAAAGATCGTTAATTTGTATACAGTACATATGGAATGTTAACATGTACAATAAATATGACAAATAAAAGCAAAATGATAAAATAATAATAATAATAATTCAGCTAAAAAACATTTTTATTTTTTTAAACTCTTTTCTCTTCACTCTTGCTCATTGACCCAATTATGAATCCATTCTTTAGCTTTTTCAGAAATAGCATTTCTTTTTTCATCATTTTCAACCATTTTCTTTAAAGCTTTTTCAGCTTTTTCATAACACATTTCACATTCATCTTTAAAATTTTCAAACATAATTATTTCAAGATATTTCATAGAAATACAAGTACTTAATACCTCTTCAATTTCCTTAATTTCTCCAATTTCCTCTTTAATTTCTTGTTTTAAATCATTTAAATCATTTTTATAAAAAAAATTGTAAAATGATTCATTTGGTAAGAATTTACCATTAAAAGATTGTAATCCTAAAAATTCGAATAGATTTTTAATATTTGATTCTTTATGATTAATTTTAATTTCGGGCTGAGAAGCTAGAGAATCTGGTAGCTTTGTGGGAGCTTTTCCACCTGTTGATTTTCTGGCAGTATACCTAATTCTTCCAACTGTGGTAGTTGTTCCACCCGTTGATTTTCTGGCAGTTTGCTTAACTCTTGTGGAGCGCCTAGCTGTGGTAGTTGTTCCACCTGTTGCTTTTCTGGCAGTTCGCTTAATTCTCGTGGAGCGTCTTAAGGTACTATCTATTTATTGAATATTTGTTAAAAAAATATTTTCATTTTTTTTAATTATAAATAATTTAAAAAAAATGATTTCTTTACCATCATCATCATCACGTAATATTTGTCGATGCCTTTTAGCACCACCAACACCAACTATGTAATAAATATTATTAATTAGAATTTTTCCATTAAAAAATTAAAAATTTTTAAGAATTGTTTATAAAATACACGAAAAACAACATAATTTTTTTTTAAAGATTATTATTGAAAAATTGATACAAACGTTGTTTTCCTACGTGAGAACCAGATGCGGGAACAGATTGGGGGACATTTATTTGCTTTGGTTTAATAAGAACTTCATTAGGTTCACTAGTCCTTTCATCAATTCCAATAAAACTGGTAAAAAAAAAATTAAATAAATAAATAAATATTATATGGATATTTACGTTTATATAACATAATCATAATAAAGATTTAAAATTTTTTACCTTGTATATTTTGATGCTAAATTAAAAGTTTTACCAAGTTTAATAATATTATCTTTAACCAATGAATCTGGAATATTTTTACCGACATTTTTAGGATTTTTATGAAGAAATGATATTTTATCATCAAGATCTTGAATAAGTTTTCTTGCTGCTAATCTATGAATAATTGAACCTTGTAATGTAACAGGATCCAAAGGAATATCAAGTTTCATGGGACCATCTTGAGAAGTAGCTTTTAAAGAAATAACTTTACATGGCTCGATGTTTTTTTTCAAAATACAATAAACAATAAAACGAACGCCAGGATATATTGGTGGAATGAAATATGGAACTTGTTGAACTTTAAAATCAATAAAGATATCACTTGTTGATGATGATACATTATCACTCGTAAAATTAATATCTTGCATCATATCTGGTTCTTCATCTTTAGTTGATTCTAAGAAATTATTGTCGGTCCAAGTAATTTCATAATCCTTGATTGGTGGTTTCAATGCATTCTTTAACATTCCAATAACTTTTTTGTCCATCCTTTCGCTATTTGTTACAAATTGAGCATATCCTTTACCCGTACGAGCAACAGACTCGACTAAGTGATGAGAAACCGCATCACCAATTCCTAATGAGAAAAGACGTAGGTCACTACTCTTTTTTTCTTCATTTATACGTATAAGTTCTACAATCTGATTAACATTCCAAACTTCACCATCTGTAATAAGAAATACAGTAGTTGGCATATCATTTCTTGAATTTTCAAATGTCCATTTTAGTGCATTATAAATTTCTGTCCCTCCATAATTTGCAGACATCGTTTGAGCAAGATTAATAGCTTCAGATAATGATTCTTCAGAATAAAGTTGACTTTTAGAGAAAAGAGAATCATGATGACTTCCAAATGAAACTACATTAAAGTAACAATCTTCAGAAATTGAACGTAATAATAATTCCAGTGCTTCCGCAGCTTTCTTCATAGGTTCACCAGACATTGAACCCGATCTATCCCATATTAACCAAAAAAAAGAAATTTATATATATTATCGATGTTAATTGAATTCAATAAAGTTATCACGCGTAATTTGAATTATATCATACCTATCAACGACAAAAATTAGTTCAGTAACAGTTGTATTCAATGAAAATTTCGGAACCAAAGTTAACATAACACAGTTAGTTTGCGTTTCGGGATTGTATTCAAGGAAAGCACTAAAAGATACAAGAAAATTAAAAATTAATTATATTTAAGAATGAATTAATAACAAATAGATAATATAAATATTTGTAATTACCGTGGTTGATCAAGATCTTTACTTTTAACTACAAGAATAAAATCTTTTTCTAAATAAGTGATTTGATCAACTAAAGTGATCTTTGAAATTTTAGGATTTTCGTCAATATTCATTTCAGTAGAAATTTTATGTGAAGGTGATTCAATAATTTGAATAATTGAAGTCATTCTACAAGTAACAGTGAGATCTAAATAAAAATTAGCTTCTTCAGAATATAACACGGCATCAGGCTCAAGAATTTTACCGTCATCTGCTGAAGATGATGTTGAAGTAGAAGAACCATATCTTGGCGCGATATAAGTTGGAAGAACAAATCTGATTTTTTCTGTTTCAGAGTCATGTTTAAGTTCCGAAACATACGTAATCTTTACGACTATAGTTTGTCCGGATGTAATATTTCCAATAGAACATTGAAATACGTCTGCAGATTCAGATTCTAACAAATATGCGCCATGCCCTTTCTAATCAATTTGAGAAAAACAAACTTAAATGTAAATATATGTAAATATATGAATAAATAATAATTTATATTAAAAATTAGTTTTTTAAAAGTATTTTTACCTCTATTGCTTCGGTATATTCTTTTGCGGCTTTTTTTGCTTCTTTTACGATACCTTTTACTTTCCTTTGTCCATCAATATCTGCTTCAAATCCACAGACTGCTGCAGCTTCATGAATGGGAAATTTATATCGAGCTTCAATAGGATCTTTTTCAATATTTTTATAAGTTTGGCAGATTGTAACTTTATAAGAGAAAAAAAAAGTTAAAATATTTGTCTAAATATACATGAGTTATATTATTTTATGAATTCTACTAAGTTTAACAAACCTTCAGTTATCATGTCAACAACTATAATCGTTAAGTGAATTTTAGAATATTTAAAATTAATTGATTACATAGTAACCAAACCAGACTTATCAGATAAAACTTACTATTAGCCTCAACGACAACATTTTGCAAAGGAATTGGAGTTTCTTTATTCTCAATTACACAACACAGGCCGTAAATTTGCATCTTGAAAAGTTACATAAATCGAATCCGATCAAATATAATAAATAAATAAGGGATGAAAATAGATTAAGAAAAATATTGTGAGAATATATTTTTTTAAAAAAATTATTTTAATTGGGAATGAAATTCCTATTGAAAAGAGCGGCAGTCGATCAAAAACTTATATGTTTATTTTCTTGACGATCTTCTGCATCATGTAAATTTTAACATTTCCCGATATAGTTAAAAATTATTAATGATCGTCAACACAAAATAAAAACCTGAAAATTGTACGACTATAATAATTGCGGCTAGCTTTTGTACGTTGTTAATTTTATTAATTGATGAAAACGATCATTACCTAACATTAAAATAACTGGATAAGTATAAATATTCGTTAAATTTTCCAATTTCCAAGATCCCCTTTTTTGATATTCTCATTTAAAATAAAAATTAAAAATATTTATTCTCTTAATCGATTCATTTTATAATTAATCGTTAATGTTAACATGTAAAAAATATTATGGTGTTTCTCTTTGTAACAAATGTCAAGAGGAAGTCTGGAATTCTGGACAAGATCCATCAACGTGCACATTTTTCACAACCATTTCGCGAAAGTTCAATATGATCATTATACTTTAATTATAACTTGACTTCTTATGATAAAGCAGTAAAAAAGCTTTGTTCAATTGAATATTTATGTATTCACAAAGAGGATAAACAAAATTTGTAAAAGAATTGAAGAAAATTGTGCTAATGAATTAACAACTTACGTTAATTGGAGCGCAAAATTTTCGTCGCTTGATAATGATACTGTTGTCGTATCTTACACCTCTTTATTACTCTTTTATTTTGCCGTACCTAATATCACAAAATGTGGGAGCAAGTTCAGTTTACAATTTGGGTTTATTTTTTTTTTTTAAGAAAAATTTCTGATAGATGGAACTTGGAACTTGTAATAATGTTCCTGTGAAATTAATAACTTCATGTGACAAATGTGTAAGAATATGATAAAAAAGTATAAAAATTGGATGAACAAACACAGTATCTGATCCTATAGTAAAAAGTATGTTTTTAGATCAGTCCAAGGGACAGTGTACCGTTCGGACGAAAAGTGCAAAAAATTCGAAAAATTACCGTACCAAGGATAATTTTCTTGTCCTATATTACTCTAATAATTCATTTTTACTATATTTTTTACGTAATGTTACATTTTTATTATTTTATTAATGTAAATTATATAATACAATTATAGTTTATCAAATAATATTTTAAATGAATTGTTAAAAATTCGTGAGTATATTTATAAAAAGTTTTAATTATAAATCTCTTTAAAAATAATTGAATTGATAGTTTTATAGATATAAAAATCTGATTTAGAAAATCTTTATTTATGAAAAATCCTTATTTTAGATATCGGTACTAAGTATTATAAATGTTACATAGAGTGTATAAATATGATAATACAAAAAGCTATTGGTTAAAATTTAAAAGTGAAATACTTTGTAGATTTATTAATACTTTCATTTGACAATACTACTCTTAAGGATTGATAAATTATATATTTGGTTAAGTTATCTTACGTTTGTAGTACATAATGTACAGTACATAATAAATAAATGAGATTAAACGTACTATCAATACGAGAATCAGGAGGAAATAAATCTGGTCGGTATCTGTTTTAACTTTGACTGTATTAATTTGAGTGTTAAGTTTATCAGCATTATTTAATATTAAGGGAAAATTTTTTTAGAGACTGGTAGTCCGGAATAAAATAATAATTTTTACAATAGACAAATTCTGTTAGAAATTTTATTAATGGTTTCAGCTTAAGTTGACTTAATAAAGCTTAAACTTAAAACCCATTTTATAAAAACTGTGGAGTTTAATATTATATAAAAAAAAAGAAACAATATTGGTGATAATAAAGAATTCAATATTATATTGGCAATTAAACAACTAATAGCTTGTAGAGTGAAAACTCTTTACAAAAAACAGATAACCTACTAGTTAAAAGAAGTGTTTAGCTGCTTTGGGATTGAAGACAATTTTAGGAACAATCATTGAAAACACCAGAAGATTAGTTGCCCTTGTTTTTAGTTTTCGAAGTCTCCGTACGATAACACAATAAAAGCACTCAAGCATCTTGAAAAGAAACAAATATTTTACATAGGATAATGGTTAATAATTCGTTACATAGCTAGAAAATTTCGATATTATGTAACGTATAATTCAACTTCAAAGATATAATTTACAACATAACTATGACAAAAATGATTTAATTCTTAAAAAAAATGTATCTCGGTAAGGTATAATTAAAATTTTCTCTTTAAAATATTTATGGGATAGTCCTAATGAATCTTCACAATCTTTGAATGAAACTAATGAAACCTCTACTTAATTTGTAACCAGCTCTTGGCGCAGATCAGGAATGATCAAGTGAAATTTTGGGTAAAAAGAACATGGAAAAAAATTTAAAGTAGCGCAACCTATATGTACTATTATGGAAAAAGGAAAAAAAATTAACAAAAATCTATCTCCCAAATTAAGTTTTGAATATTGTTGTAATGTAATAAATTTTTAACCAGATCAAAATAAAAAAATCATCTAGATAATCTATTGCTTTGATCTAATTAGAAGTTAATTTTTTCTCTTTAACATCTCTTCTTAATTTCAACATTACGATACTATAGTTAAATGAAAAATTTTTAACTATGAAAATAATTAAATATGATAACAAACGACGTATAAATAAATTATTAGATGTAAAGTATCTCATCATCTCTTTTCTGATAATAAAGGTCTCCAGGATGATGTATGACAAAATAAAATCATGCCTATGCAAAAAATGGTCTTAACTACTAGTACTGGAATATTGAAATGTAAGTGGGAAGTTGGTTTTTTCTTGATTTGGGAACGTTGCTAACGTTCCTTTTTGTTTTTTTTTTCTTTAGGATCAGTTCTTAAACTTGGGCTTCGGACTGGAATACTGGAAGTAAAACCTAATCTTTGAACATTTAATAACTGAAAGCAATGAGATCGCAATTCTTTTTAATTTTGAAAAATTCTTTTACTCTTTGCCAGCTTCAAATATAGTATATATTTAATAATAAATATTTCAACAGCTCAACTTTATAAATCAGATTCAGTAACTTTTCCAGAATTTAAAATTGTTAATGATAAATAAAAATAAATGGACTTCAATGCACATTAAAAAGATTTGTTTACTTCTTACTTGAGAGTTGAGACGTAGTTATGAAAAAGTAATCGTCACGTTTTTCTGAATATTAAGTAATCACATTACAATTTTATATGATAATTAAATAGATATTAAGGTGAAAACTTTTGACGAGTCATATTTATATCGTTCAATTACAAACTGATTTTATTTATGTAAAATAAAAACTTACATATACTCTATAATCAATGTTGAACAAAAACTATATCAAATAAAAGAATATTTAATGTTCAAATATATAAATATAACTAAGAAATGGAAATCATTGTAAATTTGAAGCAAAAAAATAACTTTGTGATACTTGTTATACCATTCTGTTATCAAAGTATCATAACTGTTAACTATTCTATTTTTATCTTGCTTATTTATAAAGTGAGACATAATGAGCGGTGATCTTACACATATATAGGTAGTCCGACATACTACAAATGTATATAAATAATTCATATTTAAACCATTATTCTAAACTTTTGATTTTTCTTCTGACTGTTTATCTTTACTTTCATCTTCTATTGATATCCTACAAAATAATTAATACTTAACATATATCTCGTAAGTAAAAAAAAAAAATGGATATAACATACTTCATAAAATCAATAATTTCTACCGAATTATTATTAATATTGTCATATTTTGAAAGATCTTTGGTAAATGGATTAAGAAGTCGAGAATTATAATAAGCTTGTGGATGTTGAGTAGTTAATTTGCCATTTTTAATTGATAAAAGATTTGCTTTTCTATATTCTTCTGCTTCAACAAATTGTTTTCCAATCTTCTCATCATTTGTTCCATCGCAAGATTTATCAAATAATTCAACCAATTCACTTATTTCAATAGCACTTGGTCTATTAGCCGGATTTGAATCCCAACATCTTTTCATTAAATCAATATAACATTTTGGAGCTTCCTTTTCATTTATTTCAGGTCTAATTCCATTGCATATATTTAATGCTAAAATATTATCATGTGCACAATTGGCAAAAGGTTGTTTTGTAGTTGCTATAAAATACATAATCATACCAAAACTATATATATCTGCTGCTTGAGTATAAGGATTTCCTTTCAATACTTCAGGTGCTACAAAAGGCATAACTCCATAAATTTTTTTTTCATCTGTATTACTAACTTCTCCACATAATCCCATATCTGAAATATATATAAAACTTGAAGTATTGCCAGAAAGTGCATATCTTAAGGTAAGGCTAGATGAAGTTAATATATTTCCAGTATGGAAATCACGGTGAACCATTTTATTTTCATGAATTTTTTTTAGACCTTTAATAATATTGCCCAATGCTATCAATTTTTCAAACCAAAACCAATTTATAATATCATTAATATAATTATCAAAATTTCCACTCTCTGCATATTGAAGAACCATAATATAATCTTTTGTATTTGGATTTTGTGATATTCCATATATTTGAAGAATATTTTCATTATTTTTAATAGAGTAATTTTTAATCTAATAAAAATAATAAAAAGTTATTATATTGTAGAAGATTACTAGTTAATTAAAGGAAAAAATTCATACCTCACTTAAAAATTCATCAGTAATATTTTGTGAATTATTTAAACATTTTAAAGCAACTTCTTCATTAGGTTTCCTTTCATATTCCTTTTCATCATCATAGTCATATATTAATGGACCATCCATCCATATTGCTGAATATACTGTGGCAAACCCACCTTTTCCTATTTCTTTAATATAATTAAACTGGTTATATGGTATCCATTCAACTATTGTATCATCAAACTTATTAATTTTTAATTGCATTTCTTGAATAAAATTATCAATTTTTTCATTTCCACTAGTCCACTTTGCAAAATTTTCTTTTAAAATATTTACTTGACATAACATACACCATCTTCTCCTACATATATATATCTCACCACAGGTTTTACAATAATTATCTATATGTGACACTATAATATAATCTTTTATAACTGGATCTTGGGATATTCCATATATTCCATAATTATAATAATTATTAAAAGTATATGATTTAATCTGTTAAAACATAAATATATAAAATGTTATTGAAGTACTCAAATTAAGTTACACAAAATTAAAATTTTATACCTCATTTAAAAATTTATTGATAATATTTTGTGATTGAAATTTCAAAATAACTTCTTTATTGGGCACTCTTTCCCACTTTATTTTAGAAGAATCATATTTTAATGGACCATCCATCCATATTGCTGAATATAGTGTACCAGAACTATCCTTGTTCAATTCTTTAATTTCAATAAACTGGTTATAGGCTATCCACTCAACTATCACATTACCATAATAATTGATATTCAATTGCATTTCTTGAATCAGTTCATCAATTTTTTCATTTCCACTGGTCCAGCTTGTAAAATTTTGTTTTAAAATATTTATTTGACATGGCGTACACCATTTTTCACGTTCATATGTATATATTTTGCTACAGTATTTGCAATAATTATCTCGAAGTACCATAATATAATCATTTGTATCTGGATTTTGAGTTATTCCATATATTATATCATATATTATATTATGTTTATTAATATGTAATTTAGCCTGTTAAAAAATATATATATTATTATAGTAAACAAATATTTTCAAATTAAATTACAGAAGAAATTATTGAATTACAAAAAAAAGTAGAATTTCATACCTCATTTAAAAATTCATTGATAATATGATTTTGTGAATTATATAAACACTTTAAAATAACTTTCTCATTAGGCACTCTTTTCCATAACTTTTCATCATATGTATATTTTAATGGCCCATCCATCCATATTGCTGAATATAACAATGTAGTAGAATCATCTTTGCCTATTTGTTTAATACTATTAAACTGGATATAAGGTATCCATTCAAAAAATGTAAAATGGTTACCAATATTTACTAATTGCATTTCTTGGATGAATTCATCAATTTGTTCATTTCCGCTGGCCCAATCATTTTTCATGTAACATATACAAATTTCTTTATCTATATTTGTATATATTTTGCCACAGTATTCACAATAACCATCTTTAAATACCAGAATATAATCTTTTGTTTCTGGATTTTGGGTTATTCCATATATTGTAGGAATATTATTAATAATACTTATTTCATAATTAATAGGATATGAATTAACCTGTTAATAAAACACGTTTTATATACATGAAAAGTAATTTTAATAAAAGTACTACTTTAAAAATTAAATTACAAAGAATTTAAATTTTCATACCTCATTTAAAAATTCATTGGTGATATTTTGTGAATTATATAAACACTTTAAAGAAACTTTTACATTAGGTTCCTTTATCCATTCCTTTTCATTACCATATTGATTATATAACAATGGACCATCAATCCATATTGCTGAATACAATGCAGTGAAATCATCTCTGCCTATTTCTTTGATGTCTTTAAATTGATTATATGGTATCCATTCAACCATATTATCCTCATAATGACTGATTTTTAATTGCATTTCTTGAATTAATTCATCAATTTTTTCGTTTCCACTGGTCCAGTTTTTAAAATTATTTCTTAAATTATCTATTTGGCATGGCTTGCACCATTTCTGCTCTCTATCTGCATATATTTTACCGCAATATTTGCATACAAAATCGTCTTGAGATGACATGATTCTGAAAAATTTTGTTTTTTAAAAAAAAAATAAAGATTATTTAATAGAAAAAAATTATTTACTGGTGATCAGCATAAGTGATGTTAAACAAATTACGCAATTTCATGATAAAATTTGTTCACGTTACACTTAAATTTTTAAATAAGATAATAAATCTAGTGTTACTAGCAACTGTATAGGAAGTTACGCCCAATATTTGTCAAACAGTAACTGAACACAAAATTGTTCTGCGTACATTTTAACAGAGTTGATTAATAATATATAATAGTATAAGGTTATGAAAATGAAATAAATAATCAATTTAACTAATATTTATCGCGCTTTTCAGAATTATGCTAATTTTATTATTTGCATGGGTAGTACAATTCTGAAAAGCGCGATAAAGTTTTAAAATTATAATTAATTTTTAAATTGTTTAACATCATAATTTAATTAACTAGGAACCTTAAATATTATTTTAATGTATTTATTCTTTTATAGAAATTACAAATAATTTCTTAGCTTTTCCAATATGTGTGATTTTTTTTTTACTTATTATTAAGAGTCAGTATTTGGGATAATAGCAAAAGGAAATTAAGAAATGCAGGTCGTAACTCGTAATGGAATTTGTATAAATTGATGGAATGTATGGTGCAAGCATAACTAAATTTTTTAAAATATTTATTTATAATCTATCAATATATTTATTTAAGGTTTTTACTTTCAAATCACCGGGGTGATCATCATCGTTGGCCAGAATTATCAATTTTTACCGGAACTATATTTTTTTTAATGCTGGTCGATTGTCATAATTTCAGTTACCGGTGATCATCACCTTAGAAAAATCCATTTATTTTTAATAATTTTTATTTCCTAATCATATTTACTGCATTATTTTTGAAATTGTGACATGTACCAAATAGAAGAATAATTATGAAGAAAGACTTTGCTTGCCAAAAACAATCACATGGAACAATATACTGTAAAATAGATTAAAATCACAGATGTGTTTAAAAGAAACAAACAGAAATAAAATAAAACTATTATTATAATAGAAAATTATTACTTGTTACACAACGCTTATTCTGTTTCGAACTAACTATCTTTGGTTTGTTAATTATTCTAATAAACAAGAATCATTGAAGTAAACAATATTAATAATAACGAATATTAATTAATATTGTTATATGAATAAAAAAAGGTTTAGCCACTAGATGTCTTTTCAATATATGAAGGAATAAATTTCGCAGTTATTTTACATTTTGTTATATACTCATTTAAGCAGAAAATCCAGACGTTACAACTTACAAGTATTGGCAGAGATGTGGCGCAGATAAATAGTATCAAGTTTACATATCCTTAACTATATTTTAAGAAAAAATCAATTAAAGATCATTTATACAACTATGTTATGAAAAGGTTACGAAACCAGTTTATTTCATACATTAAATATAAAATATAAAAAATAAATAAAATATAAAAATTAAGTACAAAGAAATACTATTGACGATGAAAATATGTTGGGATTCAAATCCATATAATCGACCAAGTGTTATTGAAATAGAAGAATTATTGAGATTGTTTATTTTATATGAAAATGAAGAAATTAAAAAGCAATTTGATGAAGCAGAAAATATAGTAAAATAAATTATCAAATCTTTTATCTATCAGCTATAGGAAATAATCGATCAACGTTATACTTCTTGATTACTTAATCCATTTACAAAGGATATTCCAAAATATAATAGTATCAATAGTATTTCAAATAAGTTACATACTTCTTAAGTTTAACATTCCTATTATAATTTATCTATTATTTTATTCCGGTCTTTCAAAATATTTTTCTTTAATATTAATTAGTCTTAATAAATTTGATAGAAGATTTGAATTAATAAATACATATGTACATTTTTTTTTATAAAAAAAAATCTATTTATTAGTATTGTGACCCTGCGAAAAATCACGGGACCACAATTTTGACGCTAAGCGACCTAAGCGTCACCTAAATAAAGTATACAAACCAAAATAACATACATTAACTAATATAATATTTTTGACTAGTCTAAAAAAAAACAATCTATTTAACTATGCTTAGCTTAACAAAACTATCTACTTTTTTTTTACTTTTCTTATCCTTTTTGTTATTATTACCACCTTTACCACTAGTTCCTGTATTTATAGACGTAAAAATATCCTTATCACTAATCGTCATTTTCTTAAAGTTATCTGATAAATTCGCAATAAATTTTTCGATAGTCAATTTGTGAACTATAGTAATCGCATTTTTTGATATTATTCCAATATTTTCACGACCTAATTGCATGTTCATAATAAGAAAAGATATACATTCGAGGTGAAATTTAATTTAGCAAAATCATTATTCGTGAATTAAGATAATTTTAGAAAAAATCATATAATGATTATACTTATATTGTTATAATGAAATATTATTTCCTTTTATAATAATAAAGTTTGAAATTTGAAATTTCGGATTTTTCGAAATTGAAAAAGATTTACACCGCATAACTTTCTAAAAAAGGAAGTTTTGGGAATACAAATATGTCAATAATTTCTTTTTTTGGAAACTTATGCGGCGTAGATCTTTTCTTTTTACATTTAGAAAATTTCAAAATTCGATTTTATTTTATTTTATTTTCAGGATTTTGACGCTTTTTTTCAAACGATAAACAATAAAAATCACACAGAGAAGTGATCATGAAATTATCTTCCCAGAAGAACCTTAAATAAATTCAGGTTAGGTAAAACAGTATTTATGAAGATCTTTGCAATTTTAGTTCAAATATTTCCTATCAACTAATTGATTTTCAACATAGATCATAATGGCGTTACTAAGTATGATTTAAGACAAATTATAATAAATGAATTATCTCCAGTTCTAATTATTTCCTTTTTTTGTTTCCTTCTCGAGGATTACCTATATGTAATTATTTTAAATGTATAGAATATCACGGCTATTTGCAGTATATCAGTAAATACTTTACATAAAGTAATTTTGGCCAAAACTATTTATTTAATTTAACTTCAAATTCATCTTTAATTTTAAAGCGACAAGCGACAAAAATGACAAATGTTATATGATGTCATTATTTGAAATTGACTAAATGAAAATATCTTTTGTCCTAAAGATTGCATATCAAAAGTTTACAGCTTACATCATTGTGTGTTTAAAAACTGTCTATTAGTATTTTAAATGAAGTGCATGATTAATAAGTCATTCGGCTGTTGGTCTTTTATCATTATCAAGATCCAAACATCTTTCCATTATTTTAAAAAATCTCTTCTCTGTATAAAAATCAAAAATAGTAGTAAGTACCCATAAATATTGCAGACTCGGTTTTTGTCAACTTGATCTAAACTGTTAAAAGCCACATAAAAGTAAGGTATCACTATTATGAATTTCATGTGCAATAAATTATCAAGGTTTATGGCTTTATGCTGTACATAAACATCATATAATCAAACGTCTTTAGATCATATTTGATCGAATTGAATGATTTGAATCTATAAATAAATCTGATATTTCTAGGTATAGTTAGTATAGTTATAAATATCTTTATATCTAGTGTAATTTAATGTGCAACCGTAATTAATCTATTAGAAAAGTACCAAATATAGAAATTGTTTATATATGGAATGATTTATATGAAAAAAAAAATATAATTGATCAACTTTTTTCGTTTAAAAAATTTGGTCATCCAATATAAATTATGATAACGATTATCTTTTTATTTCGACAAAAATGGATTTATGTATAATGCACGCCCCCTTTTAACCTGATTTTTTGTAAATAATAACCATGTTAATCTGAGAATTTTTCAATTAAAGCCATTATACAGTTTATGCGAATAATTCATGCATTTTGTTTTTCCTCTTAATAAAATTTCCAATTATGGATAAATCATATTGATTGACTATAATAATTGTGGCTGACTTTTTGTACGTTGTTCTCATCAATTTCTATTTTTATTTTTTCATTTTTTTCATTTTTTTTTCATTTTTTTTTTTTTTTTTTTTTTTTTT